CGGCCGAGGCCCAGGGTGCCGAGGAGAAGCGGAGCGCACTGCGAGAAGCGCATCGCGAAGGTTTCAGGGTGATCGAATGTACGAACGACTGAGTGGCCTGGCGGGAGGAACACATCAGGAACACACCCCGAACCGGGTCCATCGCCTTGTCTTTTATGTGTGTTCGAATGGTGCCCAATGTCCGGAGACCACGGGAGGCCCCGTCGCCACGGCGCGGGTATACGGACGCTGGTATCTTGGAGGGTTTGTCGAACACGAGGCCTTGGCGAGAGACCTTCCCTATAGGGGTAGGACGGCCGCTTTCTCTAATGGCGATTCGCGGGCGGACAGGGCCCTCGGCAGGGGTTCGCATGCAAGGGGCCGACGGCGTCTGGCTCATCGTATCTGCAGCCTGAAGCAACTGCCAGGCAAGGGTTGGCGGCAGTCGGCTGGTCAGGCGACGGCTTTGCAGCGATACGTGTAGTTGGGCTGGCTTTCACTGCAACCTGCCCGGGGGGTTTCTCTGCTCTGAAGGAAAGCTTCGTTGGTGAGCGGTGTGCGCTCAAATGGAGTGTCGAGTTGGCTATTTCCAAGTTCTATTAGTGCCGGGGGTGCCCCCTTGGACACTGCGATGCTTTTAAATGGAGCTCGAAGACCCGAGCAAAAAGCTCTCTTCGTCAGTTGACTGGTGAAATGCTGAGAGGTCAAAGATGTAGACTCGATCCCTTTGCGCCAAGAAGCCCTTCCGAGGCGCACGTGGGGAGCGGATCGTCCGCCGATACATACGTAGCCATACCATGTGCAGTACACCATTTCATCTCGGCTTGCGTGCCCTGCCAAGTGGTGCACAAGACGAGTACGGGGTATCATCGCGTGGTCTCCCAGTGATGGCATACTTGGCATGACCCCGGTCATGTCCTTTTGTACGAGTCGGGCCTCGGAGGCTTGGGCTGCTGGCCGATGGCGAACATTGAGCTGCGGGATTGGGTCGTGAAAGCGGCCGGGATATCCGTAAAAGGATACTTTTGCTTGAAAGTACCTGTATTCGGGGAACCGGGAGCCGCCTATAGCGCATAGAGTGCTATTGTTTGCCATACTTATCGCTTCACTCCAGGCCGAAACGCCTGGCTATTTATAGCCTTGGGCGCGTCTCGAGCACAATGACTCGAGAGATCAACTTTTGCATTTAACAGCCGTGTCAGCATGTCGGTGCTGCAGCCTGTCAGTCTTTCCACCCGTGCATTGGCTGCATGTTGCTCACCTTCGCCGAGGCCTTACTGTCGAGCCCTTAGTGAACTTGTCCTTATTGACAACGACAACGTGTTTTGTGTTAACTGATAGCTCTACTGAGCAGGAAATGTCGAAAGGGCATACGAAATAATCAAACTTTATCATTTCCATGCCAGAAGAGTTATCATAAATCACTACATTGGCGTCAGGTTATCTTTTGTGGGCTCAACGCTTCCATCAGTTGATTTTCGCCAGGAGGATAATTTAATTAGATTTATTTAGAGCCTTCAGTAATTGCCGGATGCACAGTCGCGGCACAGTTTGCCTTTAGTTCGAACTATGGGCCAGCCTTAGACTCTACCTCGGTCCATCGGATGGCTTGTCAGAGTAATTCGACACTGATTATTCGCTCTCGAGAGCTTGGAAGCCCAACGCCGTGCGTCCCTTGACTGGCGTCTCGAGTGCTTCTTAAACATGCCAAGTTTGCGGGTGACAGATCGGGTCCTTGTGAGTCGAAGAAATGTATTCCGACTGTGGCATTGCTTCTTCGTCTTGTCTCTTCCCGATGCAAACGAGTGTTCTGGAATAAGCGAGGTCGCCGTCCCAGTTGAAAAGACAGTGAATCAGATGGCATCTGCTCCGTGGCGAACCAAGAATTGGAATACTACAGTGTGCCCAGCTGTCCTGAGTGTCTCGACAGATGAACGACTTGAGACAAATGCACAATTGGCTCTTCAAGATCTACATTGACAACAGTCAGAAGAAGAAATGCCTCTTTTGCAACTCGGGCTAGACGTTGACTGCATACAGCCCAAGTCTTCTGCTCTGGAATGACCTGCAGATTCCGAATTCATCATTTCAACGCGTCACATCCCACCGCCTTGCGCGGTTTTTGTCGATATGAACCCTCCAACTCGGCCCACTGCCACCAGCATCCACCGAGGCATTTAACCTCCAGATGAAGCGTGAATGGTTTAGTGGTAAAATTCTCCGTTGCCATCGGGGAGCCCTGGGTTCGATTCCCAGTTCACGCAGCGGATCAACCTTTTGCGTGTCAGAAGATATGTCCTCTTTTGTTCCAGTCAAATTGGCGGCAGAGGCGCGCAGGTAGTGTGAATTGATTGTCGTCGACAAATCACACCTCAGCCAAGCCAGCCACTATTGGCGAAAGTAAAGCTGTTGACTTTCAAAAGCAAGAGCGATGATGAAGTCGCATTCGGTTATATCATGCTTTCTCTGGTATCCGCCTTTCTGGCCACTGAGGCGACTCACCAAGATGGTTAGCTAGACTCCGGAAGTGCCCGAAAGTTACGCGCCATTCCGTCGACTCTAATATGATGTCAGCTCTCATACCACTGGTGTATGGTGTTCGTTCTCCAAATCGTACAAAATAAGATTGACCACTAAATGCGTAAGAACGCCACAACAAATACTATACTTTGTACGAGGCTAGCTCAATGCCCACGCTCTCTGGACCCTGAATCCAGCCTTTCGAGCCGCGCAAGAAGAGTGTCGATTGTACGCTGTGCCGACTCGTTGACGGTTTGCATTGTTCCGTCGCCCGTGACTCGAAGCTCTTGCAAATAGGCAGCGCCAATGTCACGAACCTTTTTGACGAGGCTGAAACCGTTGGCTTCTTGGACCTCTTCTGATATATGTTCCAATATTTCAAAAACGTCACTAAATGACGGCGTTAGTACACCGTCAGCGAATCGGGGTCGTGCCGCCGATGCAGGGGATTGAAACTGACCTGACGATGCCCTGGTGCGTAATGCCGGGTATCTGACCAAGGTTCTGTACGAGATTTGATCTCAAGTACAGGCTCGTGATCAAGATATTGACCGTCTGCGCTTCGTGACTCCGACACGGCTGCGGATACCTAGCCAGTCCCCCGCTCCACCGCAATTCGGGGATGAGGTTGTCCAGCACTGCCTGGATACGGGCCATGCCTTCTCTCAGCGTGTCGGTCGGTGACTTGTGCGTCATGTCTACCTTGGCATCTTCCCACACGAGCATGATATCGATGAGGCTATTCAGCCCGGTCATGTATTGCTTGTCGTCTCTCATCCAGGTCTCTTCCAGACCTGGCCAGAGCGAGGGTATATCCACGTCCGGTTCTGGTACTCCGAGCTCTGCATCGGATAACGGCAAAGGGCGTATCGTTTCCAATATTTGTGCAAACGATCGACACGGGAGGTAGCTCAAGTATGGTTCGCCTCGCAGGTCGGCAGCCCTGGAGAGGGCGTAAGCGTTTTTGCCGCAGTGAAAAAAAGGGGTGCACAAACTCCAGTACAATTGCCACATGGACATGAGCCAGTAAAGCCGCTTCAGCATTTCCCGGTCATGCAACGACCTTGTCTCCCGTTCGCCGTCGCAGAAGAGAAGCCACTGGACACCCGCCATGGCGTCCTTGATGGCCTGATAGACGCGCAGCTCGGCCTCGCCATCGAGCGCGTGCAGCGACGAGGCGACGTTGTAACACGAGATGCACCAGTCGAGGGTGTACGCTGCCGGCCGCTGTAGCATCTGCCCTTGCTCAATGAGACCGATGCACTTGGCGATTGTGACGCCGCGGTACTTGTGGAAGCTGTTCCGTCGGAGAGTCGTGACGGTCACGGCGCATGTCGACAGCACCAGAGCGCAGAACGTTGAGTTCCTCTCATCTTCGCGTTGGAGAACTCGTCGGAGAAACCGCTTCTTGTGCAACAGTGATGCGAGAGGCCAGGCGAAGCGCGACCAGTCGGTGAGGATCGACAAGACAAGCGACCGAGAGCACAAGCCGTGGAACTCTAGGCCTCCCGACACGACTGTTGGGGAGGCCTGGCTGTTGATGTCCGCCACGGAAGGGGATGAAACGGCGTGCTGAGAACCAAAGGGCGAACTGGCCTGCCGGTTGCAGTATCGAGGGGGCATTCGAGGATGAAGCCGGCGATGTCGTCGCAGCTTCATCTCTGGTCGTGTGTCGCAGGGTAGAGCTGGAGCAGGTCAACGGGTGAGGATCTTCAGATTTGACATGTCGAGGGAAACGTGATTGAGCTCGCCAACACTGGATAGTCGTACCGTTTGGCTGGTCCTCTCTTGCGCCGGATCTTCTCCTGTGTACAACTAGTGCCCGGTGACCGACATCCACGGCATACTGTATCGTCTACAGGGTAGTGGCACTTGCCATTTCACTCGCATCAGTAGACCGCGACATGGGAGAACTCAGAGCGAGGTCTCGGCATATTCACCTTGATCTTGCGGCTCCGGCATGTATCGCATGCCTTCAGATTGCGGGGAGACCTGGCTGTAGTCGTCTCGGCCATGCTAGCGGGGCATTGATGCGACGCTCAACTTTACATTGGGGGTGCAATGGGTACAGCCAAACGAAACGAAGCTGGTGCGCTCGGAGTTTCTTTCACGGTAAACAGGGGGAGATCGGCTTTTCCGTACACGAGGCTTAGGGTTATTTGCGGGGTTATTCGGATCTATTTCTCGGAAGCAAATCTTCGCATGACGCAGTCGATGGTGCTCGGCACGTTTCCCCCACCCTCCCGGCGCTTTGGTCAACGTCCATCTTCACTCCCAACTTGCCTGCCTTTCGCCGCTAATCCCATGTCAAAGGGCAGACCTTGCGGGGTGCATTGCTGATCTTCTCACGGCGGCCAAGACCGGGGGCGTGAGAAGGTGGAGGAGCGTCTAATAACAAGCAGTAGCGTACGCGCCTTAATACAGCATTTGGAAGAGGACGATGGCAGCATGAATGATTGTAACATTGCTTCTACGACTTCATCTACGAGAGTCTGAGTGTGGCAAGCACCCGCCACATCATGGCGTTGCGGCTTGACGTCGATGACTCAGCAGCACACCTGCGCCACCTCCTTTCCATAACTGAAGATAATCACACTTTCAGATCCGGAGCAATCTTCTCTTGCACGGCGCATGCCTCGGCGGCACGTTGCTCGGCCACGGTAACGTACTTGCGGAACTGGCGGGTGGGCACCTTCTTCATGAAAAGCTCGTCTAGCTCCTCGTACGTTCTCCTGCGCGTTTCGGGCACGAAGAAGTACGCGAGGATCGCGAAGATGAACATGAACGCCCCGAACACGAAGCCAATCTTGGCCTTCAGGTTGCCGTAATCTGGATTAAACATGAAGGGGCTAATAAACGACCAAGAGGTACTGACGCTATTAGATGTCGAGATGGAAATGGCGAGCGTCTTGGCTCGAAGAACCGACGTTGGAAGCTCGCCGGCGAGGGCGTAGACCGTGGAACCGACGCCAACATTGTACCAGAATTGAACATGGTGTAGAAACCCACGGATTCTGTGACAGCGGCTGTTGCCACCAATCGGCCATGAGAAATGCAATGGTAGCACCGGACATGGACAGGACTTCTGCGCCGATCCTGATCTCAAAAGACTTCTGGTCGGAGATACCCAGATATTGGTACATCAGAGCGCCGTAGCTGCCGACGAAGCCCAAACCGGCCATGGGCCCGGAGAGGAAAACCATGATGCAGATCAGAGTTCTTCGGAGGTTGGTGCCCCGGAAACAGTCAATGTACGACCCGGTGTTCGATAATTCGGCTTCTTCGAGCGTCAGGCTGATTCGGTGAAGATGGCCCTTGGCATCCTGCGGGTCCGAGTACATGCGTTCCAGAGACTTCTGCGCAGCCGTCATTCTTCCCATGCGGACTAGGTAGACAGGGGACTCTGGCATGAAGATTTGACCAACGAGTGCCACGGCGGCGAATCCATACTGCGCAGCGACAAGGGCTTTCCAGGACCAATCCGTGTCCCACTTGGCTGTGTAGTTGGACATGATAGCCGCGATGAACGGCCCAATGCATTGCGACAGGTTGCAGAATCCAATGGCAGAGGCTCGGATGGCCAGTGGGGCAACGTCGGCAATGTAGGCGGTGCAGAGATTGAGGAGGGCGCCGATAGCTAAGAAGTTGAACATCTTGCCCACGAAAAAACATGGCGAGGGATGTTGTCCCAAATTCAATGCCGACAGAGGCAATGTTGATGACGGCAGCCAGCAGTGTTAAAGGCTTGGAGCCGTACCTATCAGCCAGATAGGAGGCGCCCCAGGCGCCCACAATGGCAGCTCCGTTCGGCGCACCGCTGATGATGGATTGCCACTTGGTCGAGATGAAGTACGTGCCCTTAATAAAAACTCCGAATCGCCTCCTGAAGACGGGAATGCTGATGAGGGCGCCCGATGCGCCCGACTCGAAGCCTCGAACAATCAATGTCCAAAGCATTACGCCGATCCAGAAGAGAAGCCGAGGGTCTTTGCGTAGAGTTTGTCCCCAAGTCCGGTTGTGCTCTTGCTGTTGAATGGCACGTCCGTGGACCTGGTCGTCGCGGTGTTCGACCATTTGAACCTCGTCTCCCTTGGCGGGCTCATCGAGTTTAGACTCGCCTGTCGCCATGGTGGACTATCTTGTAGGCTACAAGGGGTTGGGTAGCTTGCTGACTGGGTGTCGACGATAATGGCTGTGGTGGCAGGACAGCGATGGGGAAGGTCAACGTAAACCCTAGATCAAGCAATGCTTTACATGCCCTACGATCCCATGAGTCGTTTCGCAGAGTACCCTTGAACAGAGAAGCTCGGCCAGAACTTCCCCGCTAGCTTCCCCGGACTCAAGGACCGGGGAGACCTGACGGGAAGAAAACCTATGTTATCAGACCAGGGGAAAAGAGTGTCTCGGTGAAGTGTACCCCGCGACTCCACCTTGCAAGTTCCAGCCTTGGTTGAGATCCTTGGCACAATGATGCTATTGGTGATCTTGGCGAATCCTCCTTTATCGTTGCAACTTTCTCCGATTTGCTTCCGAGCATCTCGATCTGCTTCTGAAGCCAGCTTGAGTGGCGAGAGCATAGGCAACCAAATCCTCGGTATCAGATCCTGTACCGAGCCAGCCACACGGGTCATAAATCATGCCTGTGCATTGACTCAGATATATGCACCATAACTGATGGACACTGGGATCTTTTCAGCGGCTTAGATATAGCTCGGTTTCTCAGCTGATATCGCATGACATTGATCCGAATGCCATGAGTCTCGAGAAGATGATGGATTAGCTACGGCCTGGTCAAGCCGGCGATGAGCGCAGTGATGCACAGGTACATCCACATGTTGTCACATGCTATGCCTGGTTCAATATTCTCATCCCGTATTCGCTGACCCAAGACCGAGTTTGGAGCAGTGATCTAACTTCCAATACCTCTGTATTTACTTCTGCTTGAAATAATCACTCTTGAGTTCATGAAATCAATCATTGGCCCGCAGCTATCAGTAGAGTCAAGAGACCTCCTGAAGTGTTTGCACCACAAGCAATCGCAAGGTCTAACATGGAAAGTCGTCGGAAATTTCAGTCGCTGCAGTTGGCCGACCATTCGCTACCTAATCACGTAACCAATACCTCCATTCTGTAGGTCGAAGTCTCCCGCGAGTGCGGCCTGCCTCCAGATTCAGCTTGATTTCCCGGGCAATACTTTTCACTGATCCGACCACCAGATTATCCCCCCAGTATACTGAAAACCCCGGCTACAGGCCCCTTGGACCACAACGAACCCCCATCCTGGCCTCTGTGAAGAAAAGCGACCCGCAAGATCCAGTAAAACGTAGTCAAGGTTAGTTCTGAGTTTAAAAAAGGAACTCGACCGGTGAAGTCGACCAGCGGCATGCGCTTGGGCATCCAACCATGTTGGCCGTTGAGGTGTGGAACAAATTTGCGACAGAGCATGTAGAATATCTATAAGCGTCAGCTTCCTACTGCAACATCAACTTCGCGAAGGCTGCCAGCAGTACGTACCGTCTCAGCCATGTCGGCGAATGGACCACCGAGGAAATGTGCGGCTATGGCACTGCCCACACGCTCTCGAGCGTATATCTTCTCCCCTCCCCAATACGGTATGACGTGCTTGAGGGACTTGCCCCCTGCCCTGTTCAGCATATGGTCTGTAAAGGCAAGGATCGCGACAAGTATTGCATTGCAGATAAGGGTGGAAGCGAGCCAGGCAGTGACGTGCCACCAGGAATATCTTAGAAGCTGGGATCTTGGTCCGTTTTGTAGTAGGAGGTAAGTGGTCGGCTCGATATCGTGTCGCTATCGGTAGTCAGCATACAACATTGGAGTAGATGGGGACGGTTTGACGTACGTTTTGGCGAAGTGACTCCAGAAAGCCAACAACAATAAAGGCCATTAAAGCGTGTATCAGTGCGGTAGGCTTCGATGATTGATCGCCAGGAACCTGGAAGTGGTCGGCGAATGAGCCAATGGCTACAAGTAGAGAGATCACAGCCACTTGGTGGGTGTAAAGGGCCAGTCTGGCATGCTTCACGCGTAGGTGCCAGGTGCAGGAAGAGTACAGCGTTGCCAGGGCCAGAGGGACTGTAAGATATTGGGCTGTTGACAAGAGATTCCAGGCTTTGAGGTCGAGAACCCAGAAGGTAAGGCAAGCCAATATTGCTACCAGCCAGTAGCTGACGTGGTACACCGGTGAGAGCATCCTGCGATAGCAGCTTGTACAACAGTCGGATTGCTTGTTTCGCGGTATTGTGTGCCGTTGGTATGGGACGAAGCAGAGCCAAAGCTGCGCGGACGGTTTTCTCGATGATCACTCGATGATCATTGATTTTGCATTGTATCGTAAAATTTTCAACAGGTAATGAGGGACTGTAGAAGAATTGATGTGGCCGTTATATCAGATACGGGGTCAAGAGTTACTTTTCGTGGCTGAGAGTACCTTGGTGGTTGTGAGGGGAATTGCCGTAGCACTGCGTTGATTGAAGGCCAACTTGATGACCATCCTTGTAACCACCCGGCCACCTTCAGGCGCGTGACCGAATATTGACAGGCTTCAAGGCGTAAAATTTGACCGCTTTACGCATGGCCCCGCGCATGTTGAAACGAGGTGTCTATGGTTCCTACCCTGAGAACCTCACCCTACTTAGGTATTTACGTCAGGCACCCTCGGGGGCAAGTTACTTAATTAGGTAGATACTTTACCGACATGCCTTCTGCGAATTGTGGCGGCTCGCTGTTTCTCGCCTTCCTTGACCCCACCATTCCCGCTGCAAACGATGGAAACCGATGACTGATGGTAATCGTGGATGCTGCCACAAGATTCATGGTGATAGCATCATCTTTGTAGTTGGGTGACATGGACGGTGTCGAGCCAAACTTGGATATTGAACTGTCGGGTCTAAGCTATGAGATGAGAACAGACTTTCACGATGCAACTGCTGGCGTACCTTCTTTCAGCTGGAGGAGCACCACATGCTGCCATCAATCCAGCAAGTGCTCGGTTCGATGCCGACGATAGCAACTGCATTGACCAGAAAGAATCAGTCACACGCTGGGCGTGAACTACCGGCATCTCTTGGCCAAATGGTGCCTTTTGAGTGCTGGTCAATGTTATGGATGTCAAAATCTCACGCAAATGTACTCAATCTCTCAGAACGGTAGGTAGGTACCTCCCTAGAGTAAAGATTCCGCCTTCCGCCTTCCGCCTTCCGCAGCGAGCAGCTGTGCTCTTGCCTCATTCTCTGCGTCCGGGAATGCAGCATGAAGATGCAGGAGCATCCCAACCAACTTGGACTGGGTATAGTCGTCTCGCTGTGCGACGGTGCCCGTCTTGGCCCTTTTCCCCTTTTCTTCTTCATATGATCCAACCTACAAAATGCTCGCTCTCCGCCATATTTTCCACCCCGACACCGTTCGCGCAGGATGACTTGCCCACCTGCCCATTCTCAAAGCTTACTTAGATGGCGAGCCACTAGCGACACTAGAGGTCCTCAGCTTGCTGACAATGCTTATATTTGCATTGCACTGTCGCCATCTGGAGCTTGAGAAGGGACGGGTGGCCCGTGAGCCTCCCCTTCTCGAGCAGCTTCGCCGGCTCCGCAGCAGCGGCGTATAAGTCTGCTGCCAGATGAGGTCTGGGCGCTTGCGCTCAGGGTAACGCCAGGTACCAGGCGCCTCTGACAAGTTGAGGGGGGGCTTGGCAATAAGGAGATCCTGCACGGTTCGGGAGGGTTGGATCGTCAACGTCCCGGTACCTGCGGGTCCAGCCGGGGCACCCCCCAGATGGTTCAAGTTGCCTTTTCAGGCGTTTGCCTACCCGAGCAAAGACGCATACAGGTCGTGAGATTGGCCGTCAGTTCAATCCTTGAATCATCTATTTGTTCTCTACCGGGCTTCCATCATTGCGTCACACACACCCTTGGGGGAAGTTTGTTATCAAAACGTTCCATATGCAACCTTGGTCCGACACGTTCGCGATCAGAGGCAAACTTCCTGGTTAGTGACCTGCCGAATGTGTGTCTGACCTCTTTAGTGCCCGTTTTAGAGAGTAATTTCAGTCTAGAAATACCCAAACGAAAGTCACCGATCCCGAAACACCTAGTACGCACCCCCCAGACGGTTCATGGGGGTGGCTAGCCAAACGAAAAGCATCTCCAGGTTGTTCAGACCTCAGCCAACGGTCCCTTCCGATTAAGTAATTCCTAACGTAATGAACATCTCTAGAGATATCTTCACCGACATTTCGAATCAACCCTATGTCGAATCATTGGCATTGGAAAATCATTGGCGAAAGAGGTTGGAAAACAAAGATGTGGTGTGCTGCACGACGTCGGGCATCACATGTTGGTTGAAATGTGGGATTTATTGTCAGGATGGACCTGCGGAGCCGCGGGCCGCGGACTAGTTAAGGGGCCTAAGACTACGAAAGGACGTATATATGGGCTGTGGAGGGTCTTCCTAGCTGCGGAGGGCTAGAAATCAGATGTGTTCCTCTCCCCTATCCAGCAATTGACTGCGGAAGACCTCTGCTCTCTGCTCACCCACATGCTCTGACAGTCATTGCCATAGCGCACTCATGAGTCACATAATGACGGGCCTTGTAGGCCGGGCGAGGTATGACTTGGTGAGTGAACTAAAGAAGAACTTCATCGAAATCTTGAATTTCGCATGCTATACAGTTAGCCATTCATTCAAATCTTGCCATTCTGTATATTACCACCTTCGGAATCAACTTACACCCGCTAGTGGAGATGAGCCTGGCGGTTTAGGCGATGGAACCCTGGAACCTGTTCATACCGAAGCAGCTAGTGATCCCCATTCACAGACGCTATTGCATTTCATTTGAGGTGCGATGCAGCCACGGTGATGGCGTCATGTTGGGGGGAATTGTGACATTTAACTACAGCGCAACGTCCCGGAGGCTCCATAAAGTCACGGCCGGGACGGCCCCGAACGTTTCATGCTTCTATGGTAAAGCCATCGCAGCCTTCTCGTACCTGAACGTGCCTATTCCTCTTGACCGCACACACGAAACATGTTTGTCAACCGCCTCTCCAGCCTCTCCCGAGGCTGCTCGCGATCGAGCCCGGCCGTCACCAGTCGTCTGCTCTCCACGTCGAGGCCTCTTAATCAATCCATCGCCCTTCAGATCAACGGCCAAGGCTCAGGCGCGAAACAGCACGTCACCATCCAGGGAAAGCCATACTCATTCACGACAGACACCTACACGACGCTGGGCGGCGAGGACTCGGCGCCGTCGCCGGTCTCGTACTCCCTCGCTAGCCTGACGTCCTGCAACCAGGTGACCGGCGGCATAGTCGCCAAGGACCATGGCGTCAAGCTTGGCAAGTGGGACGTGTCGCTCGAGGGCGTGCTGCCGACGGCTGTGCTCGTGGGCGGTGAGCAGGGGAACCCGAACTGGGAGAGCGTGGATCTCAAGGTCCAGGTGCAGACGGATATCGAGGGCGGAGATGAGGCTGCGGAGTTCAAGAGGTTCGCGTCGGAGGTCGAAAGGCGGTGCCCGATCACGCAGCTCTTCAAGCTCAGCGGTGTGCGGTATAACAGCAAGTGGGAAAATCTGCCGCTGTGAGGGACGCTCATTTGTACCGTGATACGAGAAATGATTCGATGGCAGGCGAGAAGGACCAGCATGTCGTCCTTGAGGGAGTCTTAGGACTGGTGGCACTTCGCGATTAACCTTTTTCTTTGGCGGTCATCAAATGTGCACCAAATGATTAACCCAGAATCTGTGCCTTCATGCATATGGTTCCCCCCTTTTCAACAGATATGTCCCAGCCTTTATCATCTCCTGGGACGCGCTCGCCCACCGTTCGGATGTCATATGTCTCGCCCGCGTAAATCGGCGACAGGGCTCTGTAGGCAATCTCCCGTGGGCTTTGCCCTTTGCCATGAACATCTCGCCAGTAATCGAGCATGCTGATAAGATTGAGAGGTCCGTGAACAACCGCACCAGGATGGCCTTCCACATCTCTGGACCATTCCTGGTTATAGTGAATCATGTGGCCATTGAAAGTCAAGGCTGAGAAGCGGAAGAGGCCAACAGATGACCATGATAACCGGCGGAGAGGGGGTGCTGTCAGACGCCGTCAGAGTCGTGCGTTTGGATCAGCAGTCTAAACATACCATCATGTTGGTAAGCAATATCTTCACACGTTGACGGTCCGCGTACGAGATCCTTGAGAGCTTTTGGCTGTGGAACAGCGATTGTGGCCTCCGGATTGATCTCTGGCCGAAAGATCCAAGACCGCTGGTCAACGAGAGCCAGCCCGTTGGGCCCCCAAAACTCCTTTTCAACATCCACGAGAACCATATCTTCGCCTCGCCGACTCGTTTTCGCCGTGGCGCTCAATAGCCTCGTCCGCTCTTCAACTTCGTCACCCACGCGGATGGGTTGCTCTCGTGCTGGCCACGTCATCTTTCCACCAGCCCACATTCGCCGACTGAATGGCGCCGGCGCATTGAAGGTTTTGTCTGTGCCATCAGCACCCAACTCGCCCTCTATACCATTTGGCGTAAAGTACACAAGATGATAACCGTGCGGCAACGGTGTTCCGGTAGGGGGTGCGGAGATGGAGACGTCAAGATCTCGTGCCAGTCGTCGCCTGCCAAGCGTCAGACTCAGCTTTTGCAGCTGGTTTCCATCGACTACCTGTCGGCGTGTGACGGTGATGTCCGCAAAGCTTTCGAGCAGTCGCAAAGCTGCTTCAGAGGCCGTTTTCTTCTGGACAGGACGATCGACCATCGACGATAGGAAGCGGGGCATTCCACAGGCGGCCGAATGCGCGATACGTCGGGCCATGCGCCCAGCAAAGTGCATGATGAGAATGAGAAGGTTGATAATTCAGAGAGGGCCTAGAGTAAGGCACCAAAGTTGTCGTCAATTCCTAATGAACTGTATTTTCCTTCCCTTGCCTAAGCGCTGTTTGGGGCTGCTCGAGGAGCTGCGAGTTGGTGAGGTTGCTGACTGCTCGGCTACTTGATCAGAGGCCAAATAGCCGAATGGATCCAGCGCCCTTGTTAGCGAACCCCATTCAAGGGGCCAGCCCAGAGCGTGTCCCAGCGCCCTACCAAACCCACCCCAAATGAATGCAAGCCCAATGTGCCAACTCAAGTGTTCAGAGCGATCTTTCAAGGAATGTAAGACCCTCAGCCTGCATGAAATCATCCGACTGCAAAAACAGGCCAATGTCCGCCAGCGAATGATCACCATCCCAGCCGTTGAGCAGGGCGAAGTAGGGGTCCTCGTAAGATTCGTGGGGGCGAATCTGCGCCAGATTATCGGGTTCTGCATCAGAAGTCGGAGCCCTTGCACCTGAGTCTGCCATGTCGACGACCGAGTCTACTGGGTTGACAGCATCAACAATTGTCGAACTATGAAGAGAGGTCTCGTGTTGATCGCCGTGAAGCCTCTTGGCAATCGATTCATCGAGATACTGGAGGAAAAGGTCGAGCACGTTGATGTTGATCCTCCAGTATTTCTGTATCTCTTTGAGGCCAAGGAGGCACATTTGAGCGCGTGTCTCAGCTATCCGTCGCGAGACATCGACCCCTCTTCTAATACAGATGACGTGGATGCATAGGGCTGCGAAGACGCTCGTGATCCTATGTGCTTGGTCAGTAAGTCTATGACTTAGAATGGGAGATGGACGTACAAGTGCATCTGGCCATAGCGAAGCGTCCCCTGAGAAAGCATGTCTTCGGCAATGCGACTTATGCGGCAGGCGGCGGTGACCACGATTTTGTTGCCTGGTTCTGGCGCCACGGAACCCAGGAAGTCGTCCCTGTGGATCAGAATCTTCAAATGACTGCGAAGAACGTAAGCATTTTCGGACGAGGTACCATGGCACTACCAAAAGACGTACTTATAAGATAGGTGGAGGAGAGAGGCCCACACCGAGGACCCTCCTTCGTCGGCATCCTCTCTTACATCGTTCGGTAAGCTTTTCTTCCAGGTTTCTAGAGACGTGTCCAGGCTTTTCACCTGCTCTGATGTGGACGGACGCTTTCCGGGCACATAGTGCAAGTCGATGATCCTGCCAACTAAACGAGGTCATGTATCAGCCTCTCCGTCTGCCGGTGGAGGTAGGGGATGCTCACGTAGCCTTGCGATTTCGACCATTTTGGTCGCGTAAACAACATGCTCGGCGGTATAGACACCAAGGCTCAACACCTCTGGTGTTAGCAGTTCAGATTCAAGGTCTGTCGGACTCAAGGGCTCAATGTCACAGTCCTCATCTCGTATCCTGCTTGGCAGTCCTAGAGAAACTGCAGACTGCCGTTCCCGGACCTGTACAAGTCAGCAAGGAGGATCGGAAAAGTAACGGACCAAGATACTAACGTAGATAGACCACCATAGCCTCCTTCTCAGACGTGACCTTTTCACGTCTCTAGTCGAGAATTTGGTTCTGTGCCATGTCAGAGGAGACGCCCCCAGGTGTTGCGATGTTGAACTTACAATCGATGGTAGCCGTATGATTCGGCCAGGCTAATGACGACTCCAAGCCAATACCGCACATCCCTCACGTCCGACGGCCCACCCCGCCAGAAGCTGAGGAGAAAGAGGGACTGTAAAAGAGTGATCTCGTCCTTCTCCCAATCGGCGTGGAACAGCAGTCGGGCTCGTGTGTACAGGAGCGATTTGGCCTCGGATCTGTCCTTGAAGCCCATCATGGCGATAGTGTCATCGCCACAATACGTAGCACCAATAAACAAAACAGCTTGGAGCAGCATTGGCGAAACCACCGAGGCCGAGACCTGCTGCGCGAAATCCGCATGGTCGAGAACAGGGAAGCATGGATGGAACCAGGTGAAGTACGCCTCGAGGGCTGGCAGGTAGGTTTTGGGGTCGGGAAAGGTGAGTGCCCCTTCGTCTCGTAGGTATCTGGTTGTGCCAGCACTGAGGTGGGCGATGCTCGCAGGCGATGCCCTTCCAGTCTGCGACTGAGGAGTCGAGGGCGTGGGGAAGACGAAGCGGGTTTTCTGGCCATGTTCGCGGCCTTGCGACAAGCGTTCGCCATGTGCCTGAGTTCGGCCCGGCACCAGCGTAAGAAAATTTGATTCGCCAAAGAACAGATTGCCTGGTGTCGAGGTGGACGATGGGGATTTGTACGATGCGCGATTCGCATTCTCGTCACCCAAGTCTGCGCCAGGATCTGGCGCTGGGTCTGCAGCCAAACTGGCGTCACGTCCTAACGGTGATACGGGATCAAGACTCGCGGCATGACTGTGTGAAAGGGTGGTGGAATGTGGGCTATGGGCAACAGACGCTGCTCCAGCTTCTGCTCCAGCTTCTGCTCCAGCTTCAGCTTCCGACTCTTGGCCACCGGAGCCCGTGTGCTTATTTTGGCGCGTCTTCTTACGAGGATATCTGCGGATGATCAGGTCTTGCTTCTAGAGACCAGCGTAACATTGCTTACCGGCCCCGTTTGGACGGTAAGACTTCGCACTTCGTGCCGGCAGTCTCACAGTTGGAGCAGGGATAGATCTCGGTGACGTTACAGCGCACTCGCCTTGAATTGCACACCCGACAGGCATGTTTCGCACGAGACTTCTTGTCATAGGCATATGAGCCAGTTACAGTCGGATCCATGTTCGCACACCGAACAGATGATGCTCGCCATGAGTGGACGATTGGTGCGCATGGGAGAGGGTGGTCGACAGGAAGATGGCGGTCTTGAACATGTGCAGTGTAATATTTAGAGGAGTAAGGTAGTGACGCTGCGCTTTTCCCGCAAGGAATGCACTGTGGCTTGACCCCGCCTTGGGCCTTCCACCCCGGGATATGACACTGTGCGAAGACTGTGAGGATGCTTTCCCCTCATCCCCATGTTCGGGCAGGCACCTTCGACGACTTCATGCCTAGCACCTTCTCTCGCCGTCCAAGTTGTGATCCCTCTGATCGTCAAGATCACGCCTTCGAGTCTCCAAATCAAGACGTCCAAGCACCTGTTATTTGCGTATGTATCAACAGCGGCATCCCTCAATAGCTGCGTGGCAGCTCCAGCACCTTCTCGCTGATAAAATTTAGAATCATCTCTCGACTGACGGGTGCGATCCTGGGCACCATGCACTCCCGCAACCATCTCTCAACATCGTATTCCATGGCATAGCCCATCCCGCCATGTGCCAGGACGGCCCGTTCGCATGCCGCGAATGCTGCCTCTGCCGCCAGGTACTTGGCGCTATTTGCCGCGATGCCCACCTCGTGAGCCTGGATCGACGAATCCGTCTTGCTGCTGGTATCATAGAGACGCGCTGCATGGTACGTCACCAGCTTCGCCGCCTCCAGCTGCATATACGCATCCGCCAGCGGATGGGCCACCCCTTGATTCATACCAATCGGCCGGCCGAACACCACCCGCTCGCGAGCATACGTCGCCGCCCTCGTCAGCGCCGCATAGCCCAACCCGAGAGCCTCGCCCGCCAGCAGGCACCGCTCAGCATTCATCCCATGCAGGATCATATTGAATCCCTTGCCCTCCTCACCTATGAGCGCGTCGGCCGGGATGTGGTAGTTGTCGAAGAAGACTTCGTTGGCATCGACGGCTCGTCCACCCATCTTCTTGATCCTGCGCATGTCGAGGCCCTTGGCTTCTCTGTCAATGTCGATGGAGAAGAGCGAAAGAGCCTGAGGCCCTGTGCGCGCGAGGAGGATCATCTTGGACGCCACCTGCGCACACGTGATCCAGATCTTTTGCCCCGAGACGCTGTACGACCCGTCATCAACCTTCTTCGCCGTCGTCATCAGGCTATTCGTGTCGAGGCCCGCGTTGGGCTCCGTCACGCCAAAGCACACGCGCCACTTGCCCGATACAATGTTGGGAATAGTTGTCTCGAGCTGCTCCTGCGACCCGAACCTCGCCAGCGGCTGCGTCGCGTACACGTTGGCGTGGATAGACTGCGCCCCCGCCATGCCGGCGCCGGACTCGGTAATTGTCTGCATCATCATGGTCGCTTCGGAGATGCCGAGGCCTGAGCCACCGAGGGATTCCGTTAATGCGATGCCCAGCCAGCCGTCCTTGGCCAGCGCGGCGTGGAATTCTTTCGGGTCCGTCTCCGTCTGGTCGCGCTCCTGCCAGTACGTGTTTGGAAACCCGGCGCAGATCTGTCCGACGGCCTCGCGAACCATGAGCTGGTTGTCTGTGAAGCCTGCCATGCCCATGATTCTTCTAGCGTTGGACGTTGAGAAGTGACATGTTGACAGCCTTGGGGCACATGGCGATGGCGATATTCTGAGTGATGAGAGCGCTGATGGTTGACTCATGCGCCAGAGCCGTTGAGCAAGCCGTCGCGACATCTCTGACAGATCAATCAAAATCTCAAGCTGAAGAAATCAATGCAAGTCTCTCTCTGGTGCTTGTCGATAAATATGCAGTCAATGTATGATGGACGTCCAGGCAAAAGATGGTCAATGAATTGCACGGCTCGCCCTTATAATGGTTTTGCACCCTTGACGTCAAGCGTCATAGTGGCACTATGAACCCAAGCGCACAGTGCTGGCGGGGAAGCCATATAGCCGATGACCGCCACAGCCCACGAGCATATAACCGAAGCCACCGCCTGTAACACATCACATTGGAACGGGGCTCAACCATCACACACCCTTCCACGGATACACGCCAATTCGTGTCTCTCGCATGAACCAAGGTCGCCATCACACTGCAGCTTGCACATGGTTCATCCTCAGACCACGGGCCAGAAAGGCTCCGAGTTTGCCGCGCACTCTGTCCCTTTTTCTAGGAGCGTTCCATCCTGGATATGCTCAATGACATATCTTTCCGTGCATGTAGACGGAGAGGCGAGGAAAGTATGCTTCATCGTTTCCACAACCGAAGGACCCCAGTCCATCAGATCTCGTGCATTCAGCATAAGCTCCTTGAGAGTATGATTGCTGCCCTGCTGCCGATCAGCGCAGCGCATGATGGGATACGCGTCGGGTGTCATGCCCTCCAAATGCTCGAACGGCGACACGGGTGCCTCGCACGACTCCGCCGGCGCCGGGGCCTCCTCAGCGTTTCGAACAGGGTATGAAACCAGTTCTCAATCGCTGCCGGCGATTCGTCAAAGATTAAACATCGTTCCGATCCCGCTTTGTGGCAGTAGGAATAGAAAGCATCCATGACTTCCTCGGCCGAATCGAGAAACTGCCGTTCCCCGCCCCGGAACCACTCCAGGTACTAGCTAGCGTTGGCGTCGCTGAGGATGCGCTCCACGCGGTCTGGAAACATGGCGGCGAAGACGCCGCCAATGATCGTGCCGTCGCTGAAGCCCCAGAGCTTGAGGTCAGGAGACGCCGAATCCCCCTTGTTGACAATCTCGAGCATGTCGCGGGCGATGTAGGTCGTGCCCGAGTTCTGGGCGAGGCCCGTCTTCTGTACCTGCCGCTCGCACAGGGAGGAATAGGCTTTGACCCGGGCGTACACGAGGGGGGCGAGGCTCAGGGGCCGGTCCGCGTCGATTGTGCCCGGGTCCTGAGCGTCCTAGGCCGCCATGTCTGACGGGCGGTCGAAGCACTGGTAGCGGGGGAGTCGACGCGCCAACTGTTCTTGTCGGCGGACTCGCTAAGGTTTGAGTCGAATCTCGCACTTACCGCCGCGGGGGTCAAATGAGACGAGATCCTGGTCCGAGATCTCAGTTGAGTTCCATGCATGGTTATCACCAACAACGCTTTGCATATACTTGCCTTAGAGTCGCAGCACGTAATTGCCAGATCCTCCAGCGCCCTAACGAATCCGGTGACAATTCGAGGAACTTGCACCAGGGTTCATAAGGACAGGCCCGCGATAGTCCGTCTTGTTCACAGCGGCAATCGGGTGATCGCCAGAACCACCCGTCGGCCATCGCTAGTATTGGACCAGTCCATCGGCACCTGGAAGCTGTCAGACGGCCAGAGGGATTCGCCAAAGGGCGCTCCCCCACTTACATCGAGACGAGCACAGTCGAGTCGGCCCTCGCATTGTCCAGCGCAGTCGAAACATTTATGCCACTCTAGCTCCCTGCTGGGGTGAATCTGCCGCGTGGTCAATTCGCCGTAAAGGAGTGACGCCTGACGGCAGATGATCATGGCAGACTCCCCTCGGCCCAACCCCAATCGGCTGCATCACAGCATTCAGGATGGACAAAGCTGAGAGGGCAGCCCCCATCGCAAGCAGCATCATGATCAGTCGGACAGGAAGTGAGGCAGGTCGGTACCTATCCGAGTTGTTGAGATGTCTCTATGGCCTCTCCTGCATCCTCCTTATACCTGACATGAATGGTTTTCCCCTCTCTTGCGGAGCGTCGTAGGATTTTGGAGGGGAAATTGGCTGAGCGAATCCGAGAATCTCGACCAACGGGCAAGGGGTTTGCGAACGTCGTCCCCCGCCTTTTTGACGGGCTATGCAAGAACGGTTGCTATCAGACATACTGATAGCCTAGAGATAGGCTTGTCGCAGCACAAGGATGTAAGACCCCAGAGAACAGTGTCACACTTGGTGGTCAGTTCTGCAGGGAGGATCTTCTGTGCTCGCGAGGCGCACCCAGGGAATAGCACCGGAGCGGAAGTGGGCCAGGTCTACATTCAGCTTAATGAGCTTGGGAGCTGTCTCGATGTACGGGCCATACCCAAAAGCAGGCTCTGCAGTAAATTAAACCGAAGAAGGGAAAAGATTGACGCCCTTTACAAGCGGAGGTTTGTGGCTTGTTAAATCTGGCCTGTGCTCCATGTATCTGCGTGAACGTATGAAGTATTTCGCATGCAAAGTCTCGCCAGTCTTCACGCGAGATACACTCCACCTCACCAGCCTGGCGCGTCTGCCATGGTACCCATTTCGGAGAGCTTCACAAGCTAACATGCTCCAACATGCACTAACATGCACTAACATGCACTAACATCGCCGTTCTATAAAGCCCAGTGACATCCACTGCAAAGTAAGTCCTTCATCACTCTCTTACTTACTGTCTTATGCTGTCGATTTTAAGCCATGGGGTCTTTCGAAAAAATTGTTGAATCACTTCGTCATCCCCAGGAGGGGCTTAAACAGCCACTTCCTCGAGTCACACTTGGAGCTATAAATCGAGATGGTAACGTGCCGTAGTGCGCATCAACCATGCGACCCAGGCTGATTCGATTGGCTTGTTAGGTTCATTCCGTTATTCTCAGGCATTCGGAGAGGAGGTCGACGACATTACGGAGACAGATGCCGTACACCTTATCGCCTCGGCTACGAAGCTCGTGACTACCGTTGCTGTGATGCAATGCGTGGAGAAGGGACTGTTGGACCTCGATGCGGATGTTTCAAAAATCTTACCGGAATGGGAAAACCCTCAGATTCTTACAGGCTTCGATGAAAATGACGTCCCCTTTCTCAGGCCTTCTGAGAAGGCCATCACCCTGCGGCAAGTCATTCGCCCAAACGCCATGGCATCACAAAAATACTTACCATAGATTGATTTCCCAGACACCTCCTTACTCACTCGAGCGGCATGACTTATACGTTCATGGAGCCCCTCTTGACGCGCTATGCCCAGCTCCCAACCGTGGAACCCCGGAACCCGCACTCCGTTGTAAGTGAGCCCGAAAATTGTATATTTATAGCCATTGACTGCGGGATGTAGAAGGAAAAGTTCTTCACGCTTCTGGTGTTCGAGCCGGGCAGCCGCTGGATATACTCCCCAGGCGTAGACTGGGCTGGCCTTATGGTAGAACTAATTGTCCCTGCAGGTTGTTGTCGAAAACTAACGAGCATGTTGCAAAGGTCGAACGAGTAACTTCCATGAGACTGGGTGACTATATGAAGCGTCATATTTTTGACCCCGTCTCCACCAAAGACATCACCTTCCACATGGAAACTCGCGAAGACTTGCAACCTCGATTGGTGAATCAGTGGGAGCGACATGGCGAAACCCTCCGCAGGCCAGAAAAGCCCCTGTGGCCGGCACAAATCAACGAGGATCTCGGCGGCGGAGGGTTATATGCCACAGTGAGCGCGCTGCTCAACATCTACCAGGGCATTCTGAGCGGGAAGCTTCTACAACCAGCGACCGTGAAGGCTATGTTTCAGCCGCAGCTGGAAAGCGTCGTTGGACTCGAAAGTCGAGAAGGCTATTCGTCATCCTACCTCAACGCAGTTTTCAACACCGTCCCTGCCAACGTCTCTGTAAACTTTGGACTCGGCGGCCTCATCAATCTTGATGCCATTCCGAACCGACGAGCAGCTCGTTCCTTGACATGGTCTGGGATGCCGAATTGCTACTGGGTAAGTCTGCCTACATGCAAAGCTGAGAAACACCTGGCTGACTGGCCATGTGGCAGTGGATCGATCTCGAGAACGGCGTGGCTGGTGTTTACCTTTCACAACTGGTTCCGACTGGAGATGAACAGGCCGTTAAGCTCTTGGCCAAGTTTGAAGAGTTTGTCTATGCAAGCCTTGATGACAGGAAGCACCAGTAAGCGCAACTGAAGTTTAAACTTCACTCACAGAATGAGATTTCCCAAGGCCTTTCGGCCAACTTGAAGACACACGGTACCATCGATTGCTTTCGTTTCCGAAGTGAGCAAATGTGATGACACAGCTTCCTGGTTTGGGTCCTGTACAAAAATCTGATACGGGATGGGAGTACCGGGGTACTAATGCGGCGAAGCTCTTCTCTGGAATGCTAAGCTCTGACCGGGATTCAACCTATGCTCTTCAGGCATGCTTCGCCAGTGATGCCATTCAGCGGAGGTTGTGCATCGTCGTTATCACCCCTGAAATGTATAATTTGGCCTTTGAGATGCCATAGAAGTATATGGCGAAAGGAACGCCATGAATTCTGATGCATAACAGACTTCGGGATTAGGAAAAGGTATTCTAGATGCTCCATAAAAGGCATCCACGTTGGCTGGGATGAGTTCTTGGGAAACCCGTAACTACCTAAACTCGGGATGCTCAGACGTTTCCGCGGCAGAATGCGAGCTGCCGACGGGAGAGGAAGCTCTAAGGGGCTATGAGCAGAGTTGAAGGTGTTAGAAGGCGCGAGTCACCTTCTGCTCAACTCAGAAGGCCGTCAGTGAGATATGCTTTCACTTCATACTATCGATGACCCTGCCCACTGAAGTGTTGTCAATATTCTCACTCTGCTCAGAATCGATATTGAAGTTGACTTGATAATTTGAAAGCGCAGTTTTCGGTCATACATAAAGATTCATTCTTTTCGAGGTTCTCTCAAGCTTTCTCGTACCCTCGTCCCTACTTCAGCCCCGGACTTCAGCCCCGGTACGCAATGATCCTAGCCACCGCCGCTTCTGCGGCAACCATGACGATGGCCTGGGTGTTTCCAGTGGGAAGATCGGGGTGGATGCTTGCATCTGTGACGAACTGCGGATCGTTAGCACACAAGCAAATAAATCTTATCAACAAGGCAAGGTACTCACAAGGTTGTCCACGCCATACACCTTGGTGTTCGTGTCGACGACTGCCTGGCCGCCCTTGCGACCGTCGTCGGATCCCATGCGTGCCGTACCAGTGTAGTGATTACCACTCCTCAGCGTATTTAAGATGGCAGTGGTGTTTGTGTTGGTCCGAAGAGAGAATCCTGAGGCGGGGTCAGAAATGGCGTCGACCATGCTCTGCACAAACTCGGTGGCCGACTCCCTGTCGGCATCCGTCTGCAGGTACGCAGATTTCTCGAAGACGCCAGTGCCGTTGTTCAGGAGGCCAAAGACACCAGTTGACGTAAGACCATGGGTCATGTAGCTAGTGATAGCGACAGTGCCGTTGCCGGAGGCGGCACAAGAGCCCTGGAAGTAGCGAGTAATTCCGTCACTACCAACACTCGACGTGAAGAAGATCAGGCGGTGGCGGCCCTGAGACAACACACCGGAGCCGCTACCCTCGTAGAGCTGAATGGTAGTGGTATCGGAACCATTCACAACGCTAGCAAGATCAAGAGCGCCCCAGTTGCCGTCGGTTTGGGCGGTGATGGCGAAGATGGGGTGATCTTTCAGGTTCTGGCCAACGGGGAGTTTGATCCAGTCCTTCTTGGAAGGGACTTGAACGCCAGAGTTCTTCGCGGCCTCGATCTGCTTGGTCGGCCCAATGCCCGAATGGAAGAGAATCCTGGGCGTGGACAAGGCGCCAGCAGCGAGGACCACCCTGCCCTTAGAGGCGAGACCAACAGTCTCAATCTTGCCGTTGTTCTCAACCTCTACGCCGGTCACGCGGCTTCCCTTGCGAATGAGGCGGTTGACCTTGACGCCGAGTCGGAGAGTGAAGTTATCGTACTCCAGCGCCTTGGGGAGATAGGTGCGGACGGGGCCGGCGCGCTTGGAGTCTTTGATGTTCCACGAGGGGTAGCTGTACGCCTTGTGCTTTTTGTCAGGCTCGTCGATCATATCGACAGACTTCCAGCCGAGATTGCTGAGGAAGGTAGACATGGTCGAGTAGAGACCCTGGTCATAGCGCTGACCATCTCCAGACGGGAGTGTGCTACCGGGGTTACGTTCGTAGAGCCTGGCGGCAGCAGGCGCGACGTTGGGCCACTTCCAGCCGCGAGGCCAGTTTTCGAAGTCGTGTGCAGGAGGGTGCACAAAGACGAGAAAGTTGATGGATGTACCACCACCGAGGACGCAGGCCGCGGACCCAGGGGTGTCCTCACACATGTACCCGGGAGGAATGACGGGGGCCAGGGCGGGAACGTCAACGGCGGTGATGGTGTCGTTCCATACGAGCGAGTTCGTAGCTCCAGTCTCAACAGTCGGTCCCTGGCCGCGCTCGAGTAGAAGGACCTTCTTATTGGTCTCCGCCAGACGCTCGGCGGTAATGATGCCAGCCGGGCCACCACCGACGACAATGTAGTCGTACTTGTCCTGGCTGGGTCGGGCGGCCCCCTCACCGACGAGGCCAAGGGTGAGGCCGAGCACAATAGATGAGAAGTGCATGGTAAAGAAATGTCTGCGTGTGCGTGTGTGAGAGAGGCTCCTCCTACATGGCCAAGATTCTTGCGTCACTCCAACCAGCCGAGCAGACCGAGCCGTCTTATACAAGTGCAGATTCTCAATCCAGTCGAGTCAAGGCTTTCACGACGCTATTCCACAAACTGAAATCCAATTAAGCTCGCTCGGCACATCTACCATCTGATAATCATTACTCCGCCCGTCAGTTTTGCTCGCGCGCGGCATGACACTCCCCTCTGTAGGAACCCCAGTCAGCTCGCGTGGCTGAGCTGGGTGGCAATTGGCTCTGAACCCTTAGATATTTCATTTGAATCATGTTAAACCTGGCCTATGCGGGTTCAGTCCGATTTCTTGGTCAAGCACCAGGGATTCCGGGTCAGTACAGTCAATCCACTGACTCGGCGTTGCCGTCATGTGTGGGGCGGGCTCAGCGACACGCGTTCGCTCGGAGTAATAGCCGATGGCATGACGTCGGAGTTTGGCGTAGTGGGAGGCCGGCGTTCGGCTGTCAAGTAGGACAGTGAGATTATTCCCAGTTAGGTAAGGCTGGCCGAAGTCGTGTAATGAGGCCTGTTTCAACTCAGTAGGGTCGTCTTCTGCACGAATAATGAACTTGGATTCGTCGGCGTGGTCAGCACTCATCCAGTATCATAACTTATCATGCAGACAACAACAGAGCACCTGGTCTGAAGCTGCCAAAGCTTAGAGGCTGGTTTCTACATACCCATCAGCCAAGCTCAAGTGACGGACGATACTGAATGACAGTCAATGACCAACGAGACTGTGAAATGATTTTGTCTCTCCTTTTGAATATTCATATACGCCAGAGCGAAACTACAGCAAAACAGGCACTTGCAGCTCCGGGTGCACAGTTCAGTCTGACCGCAACACAGAATATATATGCAGCCCAATATAACAGCACCTTAGAAGTAGGATGTAGGAATCAAGAGAAACGTGCACGCCCTAGTGCACATGAATTAGCATTCTGTGAGTGCGGAGTCGAATTCGATCCAACATCGTTAGAGATTATATGCGTTTGGCTTGTTATCGCAATTTGGACTTGAAAATGGAAACTGTCTGAAAGAAGAGTGACGGCGAAGGCTTGAAGCAACAACTGGTAAGGTATCTTGAGCCTCAAGAATGATCCGAATACAGCGGAAAGCTATGCCAATCGCCCCTCCACCCATCTTCCAGAACACCGGGTTCCAGCAGTCTTTCAGGGGTTTCGCCTGGCGGGCCGTCATCTCGCGAGTGGTGTGGCCACAATGAACGATAAACCGGTTTGAGCTCACAATGGTCCTCTGCGAAGTTTTCGTCGTCCATCTTCGCATTGGCCAAGCGTTCATCTCTACCTAGCTCTTGTGCAAGGAGCTCGTCATGGTGAGTGTCGCGTGGATCCCAGTTAAGCAGCCACGAGAGGCCAATGTGTAAAAAGTACTTGTCCAAGACCATGCTCTCCCTTCCACAGAATTCTTGCCATCCAGCCACATCAAGTTGAAGATATTGTAATGACGGGTGGGATGGCCTGTTTCTCGCTCTGATGGTGTGAAATATGGCCCGAGCCAGCTTCTCATCCACGGCCGCATCAATGAATGCGTCTCGCAAGTGTCCAACGCGGTACGGCGCAAGGCACGAAAGCTCTCGAGATTCGAATTCGTTGTAAGAGGGCGGCACCGGCAAACCACGTGTAGGAACCCACACCAGGAGGAGCAAAGAAAGGCGTCTCAAACGTCCAAGTCGGCCCAGGGCGGTGTACATAGCGACCTCACGGGCATCTCCCTGTGAGCGCCAAATCGGCAGCGCCAGTTCTTCGATCGAGGGGCAGAGTTCTGCCAATTGCTCCACATCCTTTTGCAACAGGCCGCCGCTGGTGCCCCTCCGAGATTGGGAAGTAAGTCGTAGGACTTTGAGGCTCGGACCGAGGATAGAAGTTGGCGATGAGGCGCGATAGTCCCAGCCGTCAAGCTGAAGGACAGTCAATCCTTGGCGAACGAGCTTCTGCACGAACGGGCTTACAGCGCTCGAGTCCAGTGGAGGTTCGCCATCATGGGATTGGCCTTTAACTGACTGACCACATACTCAGCACGAATGTGGTCAGGGCTGGGAAAGAGTATTTCAAATCTAGGTCCCAAAGCGTTCTGGTAGGGATGGTCATCTCCAGCCTAAGCGCCCGCAGCACCGAAAGGTCAGTGTTCCTTGACGAGTCCAGCAAGAGTTGCGACATGCATGACCCGTCCCCAGTCAGATCTGTCAGCTGCAGATACTGTGGGGAGCCCATTGAACCCGGTGTCAATTTAGTAGACTCTTTTACACGTCGGATGATCTTTTCCCGAGGCAGAGAGAAGGACTCTGGTTGGGACTGACTGTCTCGAAAGTCCCCGTCGCATAGGAGGCGTGCTTGCTTCACACCAGGTGCCAGCCTAGATACGGCAGCTACGGCGGCTTCAATCTCACGAAGGCATACATCTGTACTAACTTGCGGTTCAGTTCCATGATGAGATCCAAAGCGAATTTTCTGCGCGCACTGAATGCTGTATAGATTCGGCGAGGTGACGAGCCTGTACTCGTGGTCGTCAAGAAACGGGGCGTACAGACTTCGCAGACGAAAAGTACTCATTCGCAGCTTGCATCCCGGAAGCTTGCCATGGATGAGGTCCAACAGGCAAGGTGGAATCTGGTTGTCGCAGCCGTAAACAATGTCGTTTAAGGCAGGCATCTGCTCCACGAGGTGAGCCAGGGGTAGCCACTTGTGATCGTTTTCGTACACCACCTCCAAGGGCTCATTTGAGGTCTGTTGATAGTCGACATCCTGCTGATCCAGCCAGCGGTCCAGATCAGTATCGTCGTCTGGGGCTCTCTCTGGCGCCCGGATTCCGAGCCGCTGCCATGGCCGACCCGATCCCGTCCCGTCAGAAACTACAGTCAGGGTGTCGTCGTCGTAATAATACCCGTAGCCGGTGACTATCAGGCGATGAATGACGCTGAAGCCTCTTTGCTCACGTTGGAGTCTTTCTCGACATTGCGCCACTTGGCGAGACAGCTGACCGAAACCTGAAAAATGGATATGAATGGTGCGGAAGAGGATCTCGACAGCAGCAGCGTAGCAATCTCGACTCGCGGAGGAAAAGTCGAGGATACTCCCTGGGTAGATTTTATACAGCCATTCACAAATTTCGCGCCGAAGCTCTGTAGGCAAATTTGTGATCATTTGAGCGGCTACTCAGCATCAGCAGCCAAACAGCATATGGAGCCAACCACAATGCATGCATTGATGCCTTTGCTTGACTCTGATGTGGATTGGGGATCGTGGCTCACTATTGAGAAAGCCGGTTTGTATGGGTTCTTCCAAATGATGTGTTCAATATCGATAGTGGAAAGCGAAGTTGGACAGATGATGGGTTCCTGTCCACACTATATGTACAAGGTCAGCCCCAACCGTGGTGCATGCAAGGCACTTCTTAGTTCTCCGTGCGAGGGCAAAGCACCGATTGGACAGCCAAGCGGACCTGAAATTCCTCAAATCATGTCTACTCATATTCCTCTGGTGATCATGGGATGGCGATCCACACGTGTGTAGGTGGTACTTAGATACGAATTGGTGAGCGTGTTGATAGGCCAATATCATTGTGTGTCTGGGCAGCAGTGCTGCTATGCGCCATACAAGTCCAAGCCAAGGCGGCATTCGCCTACTTTGTGGTAGGTCTCTTCAAAGCTAAAGTCCGGTATTGCCTAAAAGACATCATGCTCATAGTCGTTCTTCAGGTCTCCAATGCTGTCAATTATACCGAGTCTGACTGGGCCATTGAGATAAGATTGACCCAGGAGGCTCACATCGATGCCTTGAGAGGGCCTCTGCAACTACGCCTGCAACTTTGGCTTTTGCCCCTGGTATCTGCACCTGTGACAAGCAAGGAGCCCTGAACCAGCCGCCCGCCACCATAAGGTAGACAACGTTGGTGGCAGGTCGGGCGACCCCAAGCTCAATGACTTTGGCCTTTGCCAGTTTGCCTGCTCAAGAGGCTATTTTCCCGAACCCTGTGTTAAGAATAAGGCGGGGGGACTTGTGTTGATCGATCCCAAAATTTGGAAGGATCAGATGCTGATTGCCTCGTGTATTCCGCCATGCGTGATCGGCCTCCCGCCCTTGACTCTCTCTACGCCGACAATTATCTTGTTCCCTCCTCATACGACGACAATCACTCAGAGCTGGGTTTGGTCAACATCAAGGCTGACAGGTCTGGTCATCACCTACCTGCCTGTCAAGACAACTTCCATACCCGTCTACAATATCAACATTACCGCCACCAGTGTCATTGGAATTGACTACTCCATAACACTGTCAATTTTCCCTTCCCGAACTATCACCATCGGGCCCCCACTAGGGGTCGATGAGACTGCCATGACCCTTGTCGTTACCTCGACGCCCACAGGCTCCACGACATGGCCCCCCATTAGTGACAAGGACGTACACTTCAAGGTGCGTCACTCGAGCACTGGTCCCCCCAGCGCCCATCTGTGCAGGCAGCGGCTGCGGAGTGGGATGCACCGCCATGTGTAACAGTTGCGGCCTTCTGGGCTGCGGTGGCTGCGTCTTCGATTGCGGCACCTGCTTGAGCCCTTTTTGGCGGCGGCGGCATTGACATCACGGGCGGCGGCTGCGTGGGCCCTGCCTGTCCTACGGCTGTCTGCGTCGGCGGTGGCTGGGAGCCTGATGCCGAGTGCGAAAAGCCCAAGATGGCGAGCGCCTGCATGGCGAGCTGCTCCGTCGCATTACCGAGTGCCGGTGCCCGCACCTTTACGACTGATTGTTACACGACGCGCTGCACCGAGAGAACGGCCTGTCATGCTGTGGCCACAACGACCGTAACCCGCACTACAAGCGGCTGTCCAACTCTGAGCGCCTACCAGCCATGGTGGACAGACAATAACCAGGCCGTGTTCGCGCCCAGCGAGAATGGCTGGGGTGGTTTCTTGGCGGCAACCGGCACATATCTCGATCCGGCCCTGAACACGATCCTCATCAATTATGAGTCGGGCACTGACAATGAAGACGGCGACGGCAGTGGCGGTGATCCCGTACCAAGCCCGGGACCGGAACCGAAGACCATACCAGCAAGTGGTCGTGAGGGCTACGGTGGTGTCTTCTTGATGGTGTACTGGGAAGTCGGGGGCAAGGGCCAATACCGTGGTTACAGCTTGTGGTCTAAAACCCTGAGCATCAATAACCCAGATATCTGCACATGGGAAAAGGACCAGCTCACTTTGACATGGAAGGATTATCCTGGAGACCCAATCATGCCTCCGGTACGATCCAGGGGGTTACTCTCTTTCAAGATACCTGCACTGACTCGAAGCGTACGTTGACATGTGGCAAGTATAAAGATGCCACGCTCGAGAACTTTACAGGATCGTTCGGCAGTCCTACACCGACAGGCAAGTGTGGTAGTGTGAGCTGGGGATCTATCATTGTCTGCCACTGCTTCAATTATTGAGGTACGGAGGTGAACACAAGATGACGATGACACGGATTATATTTATAATGTCATTTACTTGTGAAATGACCATTGCCAAAGGCCAACCCGACCTGGCATGGGCAAAACTCGCTGCCTCTACGTCAAGAAAGCATCCTACATCGGTCGTGAATATTTGTCCTCCTTGCCGATTAATATTCAACAATCACTCATGCCTGCTCCTTTCCCGGCTATACTCCAGACGAAGTAGACTGTACATCATGATGTCCCACTGCCGTCGACTGTATTTCTGCATCATGAGCTTCGCACATCTATCCGGCACCTCCAAGTATGACGTGCCTCGAAACATACCGTTAAGGGATCTCCTCTGGTCAAAATTTGCAGGGCACAAGCCATTTACCCAAAGCCTACTGCAAGAGATAAGCTGATTAGCACCGGCCGGAGCTTTTGGGAGAATGACTTCAACCTGGCCATCAATTTGGTGCTGGTGGACGGAAAGGGATAGGGCGCCGACTGGCCAAGCCTTCGGACGATCCGAACAATGCACAATGCCACCACAACTTAGCATTGTTCTACGCGACTTTCGAACTTTTTCTCGCAGTGAACAGCGCTCTGGCTCGTTTTATCAAATCGAGTCGGCATGGTGTAAAGGGCCCTCCCATCAGTCAGGCCGCTGATAAAGGAGGGGCCTGCAGCACTGATAATTGCTGACAGCCGTGTATCACGGAACTAAGTCACCCAGACGCAAAGTGTGCGTGAGGGCATTTCTCTTTGTGATCGTCTCCCTCGACGCAATCACAATCGGACTTAAATACGAACAGATCCGTGGAATTCCCAAGCGACTTCGGATTGAACAATGCGAGTACGGGAGGCTTGATGATTGCCGATAAACGAGAACAAAGCATCGTTGTGGAAGAGGACTTGGGGATCAACAGCAGACGAATATCATTCAACTACATTCTCTTCACTGCTAGTACCGCCATCTACCAAGCACTATTCTCATCGCCTTCGCCATCATGCATGCTACAAATCTTCGATACGATGCGGAATACAAAAAAATGCTGGATTCGATGCCCGCCGGACCGCAGCCCCCTCTGGACACTATAGGCGAAGTCCGGGCCTTCTTTGAAAATCTTTACCGTTCGAGCTTCGCTGCCATGCCAGTCGCTGAAGACGTTAAGATTACGAGTAATGAAATTCCTACTTACGACGGTGCCGATATCAAAGTGTACAAAGTCTCAAGCGACAAGACCGCATCTGCCTCGGGCCCTCAACCTGCCGTGCTCTACTTTCATGGCGGAGGCATGATATGTGGTTGCACGAACATCTTGAAGCCCCTCATTGCGCATTACGTCTCGCAGTCTGGCGTCACGTTCTATTCTGTCGACTATCGCCTCGCGCCCGAGCACCCTGCTCCCACCGCCATAGAAGATGCATACGCGGCCCTCAAGTTCTTGGTTGATCACGCCGCAGAGTACAACATTGACGCCACTCGCATCTGTCTCATGGGGGATTCAGCCGGCGGCCTTGTCGCAACGGGTTGCGCAATCCTGGCGCGCGATAGGGACCTGGAACCACGAGTCGCGATGCAGCTCCTAGTATACCCCATGTTGGATGACCGCACAACGCTACCCGAGGATGATCCATTGTGGCCATTCCTGAGCTACAAGCCCTTCTTCAACACTAGATCTTGGAAGGCCTATCTGGAAGATGGGGTGGTGTCCGGGCACAGCGTGCCTGCACGCCAACAAGACTTGGGTGGGATGCCGCGAACCTATGTCGAGGTGGGCAGTCTGGACCTGTTCCTGGGGGAGAACCTTACTTATGCGTCGAGGCTGGCCGAGGCTGGGGTGGAAGTTGAGCTGCGCGTTTGGCCTGGTCTTCCCCATGGCTTTGACCTGGTATTTGGGTTAAATGTTTCGAAAAAGGCCCTCGAAAGTCGACTCAATGCGTTGAAGAGGCTCTAGGCAGCTCTCAAGATACATCTCGTCTGGAGAAGCAATGGGCTGTCGACCACTCAGAAGTAGCTAAAATTCAAGTTTTGATGTACCAGACTTGCACGAGAGCCATCGCGTTAGTGTGTTGTGGTGAAGCTCATCGTCTTTGTACAGAATGTCGCACGATGTGCGAAGGTTTAAGCACCTCACGACCCATTTCTCCCCGACTCTCCACAATCGCTTGAGTAACCGAAATGTATTCCTTTTCAACTGCCCAACGTAGAAACATCTAGGGAAAGTTTGTTCGCCGTGGACGAAACGAACTTTAACTGCTCAATGGGTGTGATGAAAAAGACAGCTTGCATGACGGCACCAAAGGCGGATACACAACCCTCAGGGCAGACCACCGATAGCTTCAAGGCGGGTCAAGTTCTAGAACGGGCAGTTCAAGGTGACAGAGGAGACGCGATCGTATTATGGAGCATGACCAAGAGGGGCTTGGTAGATCGCGACTGATTCTCGACCTCCAGAACGTGCATCGATGCTGGCTCGGCTGTGGATGTCTACCTTCTCGCAGGAGCTGGAATGCGGTTCGGGAGTAGCCTCGCTTACCCTGGTCTTTGGTCTCGTTCTCAAATCCGGGGTCGGACACATCCCTGGTGGCATTGAGCCAGCGCTCATCAGCATTATGTTGCATCGAGAATGAGACCCAGGGTGCCGCATCACTGACAGGTAGGGGTGCGACCAGTGAGATGAGCGCTCAAGATGCGCCCTTAACGGAGAGTCGGTCTCGCTGGGTGGATGGTGGCTGGATGGCATGGCGATCTCGGAATGATTAGAAGAGAGGCTTGTAAAAACGAGCATGGAAGACGCGTGCTCTTCTACCATGTAGATCTTATCATCGGGCCTCGATGGAACGCCATGACAGGACGCCGTAGTTTCGAATTCATCATACTCTCGCTCGATGCGACGGTCGGCGGCAAGAAGGACGACAGAGTTCAGTCGGTGGGCAGACCCCATGACTCGACCACAGGCGGCCCCCCGTCCAGCGTGTCTTGGCACAGGATAACCTGCGCAGGCCTGCCGCCGTACTTGTAGCAATGAAGAAGCTCGCATCATCCGAGGCAAATTTCCACCAGCGGAAGGCCACGTCGGGTGCTCAAGTCGTGGTTAGTAGGCTCTGTCGAGGGCGCACAAGGCGTAAACGGCGCCAACGCCAGCGCCGTTGAAAAAGCCACCCAGACTCAGGGGGCGGGCCACCGACTGACCTGCCTAATCCACGAGGCGTCAAGTGTCGATTGGCTTAGACAGGGGAAGGCCGCCAGTCTTCCACTTGGCCTCTCGAGAAGAGAAAGACTGCCAAACAAACAAAGGACGCACGCTCCTCTGTAACAGCGAAGACTCGGTCCTACCGAACCGCCAGGCCCTATGGATGGACTCGTTCGCTCCTGTGTTTGCAGAGACAAAGGCTAATTCGTTTGGAGGTCTCGTATTGTCTTTTTTAGGAGCCGACGGAGAGAAAGAGGACCCGTTGAGCGGGGACCAGCTGGTAGGCCAGCACGTGTTGCCGACTCCCGCCCGTGAGAGGGGAGGGGCTCGTTAACGAAGATAAGATGGCGGTCGTGGAGCCTGTCTTTCTTTGTGCTGTCCAGCAAGTGGGCGCTAGTTCAGGTACAAGTCACGAACTCAGGCCAGACGGAGGAGCCCGAGAGACGCCACTTGGTGGGAGGCCAACGGCGCCGATGTGGGATTTGACACTATTGGAGCTTGCGAAACACGCTCGACGCGGTATTGGCGGGAGAAGACGCAACGGTCGGCCTACTGGTCATGCACGGTCACGAGGTGTGTATTTTGTCTTTCGAGCACGCTCGTGAGTCTGGCTCTGCATGGCAATGGCCTCATGGGCTGTGTGCTGCATCTCCAGCTTGGCTCTATACGTACGGGAGACGGATGCTTAGTTCAAGGGCTCGCCGAGACATTGATCGGGGCCCAGCCTTGGGCTGTTGATGTTCGACAAGGGTGGCATCCTGGCACCAGGTGCTGCTTGGTGAACTCAAGGCGAGCAGCCAAGCAGCTAAGGAGGCAATAGGACCCGATCAGCTGGTCACGCCCGCAGCTGGTGCTTTACCGAGGGTGGAGACGGACTGGTTCGGCCTTTTTGTTGTGTTGTGGTGATGCAGGTTCCTCTCCTGATCGGTGATGGTTGTTGTCGTAGATTCTTCAGCATTTGCACAGGTGGCGCAGTGAATTGCTTTTCTCGCCAATCACATTATTGGTCTTTTCATGGCATCTCCCCTGATGGCGGCCACGTTTCCCCCGCCATGGAAGCGAGCAGCAAGCAACCGCCCAGTGGTCGGCTTCGCCTGTGCCGAACCAGAGATGGTATCGAGCCTGCGTGGCGAGCAGGGGTAGGGCATGGGATCGAGACAATCGGCTTGTTGGACCTAGAGCGAGACACCAGGACGAGCCGGCCACACGTGTGTCCTAATAAGGACTGGTCTCAGCTGCCAAGATGAGCCGGACGATGCCGCTCAACCCATTTAGCCCCGGTTCGCTCATCTGGCCCCATCTTTTCCCTTGGGCTTCTCTCCCATGCTTAGCAGAGGACCTCTGCTTAGCATCAAAGAGGAAGCTCTAGCGCCGACGAATTACTGACTGCTGGGTCGGCCTGCTCCCACATTCAGCGCCAGACCAGCGGCCAGCAACACGAACAACTTTCCGGATATAGTCGGTGCTGTGAGAGGGGTGGACGCCGCTAGCAAACCACCGAGTCCATGTGGCCGTCAGGGGGGCGTGGTTGCGATGATGATGACAGTGTCTGTGGGCATTGAGATCATCCACGCGGTCAACAGCCTGAAGAAGCCTTCGCCTACTTGGATCCTTTCCTGGGCCCCTGGAAAGCTCGTTCAAGGGCAGAGCACCCAGCGTGGGCTGCCGTTGTATTCGTATCGAGGCACAGACACTTGTACCCGTAGCACGCCCGCCGCCTGCCGCCTCCCACATCGGACGAGGCACACCCACACCATTCAGGGGTCATCTCGTGGAACAGGGGTGGTCCCTCATGTCGGTTCGTGGTCAGACGTACATGGTCTTGCGGTCCAGGCGTCCAGGTTCAACGCAGCACAGCCTAATAAGATGGTGTCGCCGTGGATCCACGTCTGAGGCAACACAATGGTAGGGGATCTCCTTCTTCTAATTCTGGTCGCAGTATTCGCCCCTCATCGTCAGTCGCTTTCGTCATTTATTGACACTCACCCTCGTTTTTCGTTTGCCGTCTTTCGTCGTTTTGCTCTGGCAGGGCTTGTCACTCGTTCATACATCCCGTCGTGCCATTGCAAAGACAGCTGCCCACCATGAGGCTGGCAGTTCTCCTCCTGTCGGCGGTCGTTGGCCTGGCCAACGGCCTCGGTAGCACCGACACGATCACCTGGGGCGGCGATAACTCGAGGTCGGGGTACCAGACGTGAGTATTGGGCCTTGATGGATAGAGTAGTCAATCTAGAACAAAACTGACCTCCGAAGCAACCACAACATGGACCCTGCCGTCGTTAGCAGCTCGCAGTTCGACCAGATCTGGCGCACGACGCTGCCGGGCAACTATGGCGGCGACAAGGAGAAGGCCTTCTCGCAGCCGCTCGTGTACACACCGTCGACAGGCACCACGCAGTACGTCTACTACTCGACGACACAGAACAATGTCTACAAGATCAACGCCAAGACGGGCGAGATCGTGGCCTCGCGCAACCTCGGTATTCCCTTCCTGACGGCCGACCTCAACAACTGTCTCGATATCAACCCCCACGTCGGCATCATCTCAACAGGCGTGATCGACCCGGCTACCGACACTCTCTACCTTACGAGTAAGACATATGCCGACCAGAGCCAGCCCAACGTCGCCCAGGGCAAGCCGGCCGGCCGCTACTTCATCCACGCACTCGACGCCAACGACCTCACGGAGAGGCCCAACTTCCCCATCGGTCTTGAGGGCATCGTGGCCCGCAACAGCCCGCAGCGCATCTTCAACGCCGGCATCTCGAACCAGAGGCCTGCCCTGCTGCATGTCGGCCAGTACATTTACGTCGGTTTCGGTTCTCACTGCGTGCAGTATGACTTTACTGGCTGGATCATCGGTTTCGACAAGACGTCAGGCAAGCTCGTGGAGCAGTTTGCTACCCAGGGCCCCGATGTTCCCGCCAACAAGAAGGGCGCCAGTATCTGGATGTCGGGCGGCGGTATCGCCTCGGACAATGCCGGATCCATCTTCTTCGCGACTGGCAACGGCTACGCCTCGCAACTGGCGACGATTCCCGTCAAGGGCTTCAACCCTCCGACGGCCCTCGAGGAGGCCGCCGTGCACATGACCATCGGCGCCGATGGCCGTCTCGACGTTGCCGACTTTTTCATGCCCTACGAGAAGCAGGAGCTCGACGGCGCCGACAAGGATCTCGGCACCAGCCCCCTCGAGATTCTCCCGAGCGAGTTCTCCTGCGGTAACGTCAAGCGCATGGGCGTCGTCACTGGCAAGAGCGGCAAGACGTACTGGCTTGACCTCGACAACCTCGGCGGCTATCGCAACGGCGCCGACAGCAAGTCGGATGCTGTGCTGCAGACGTACCAGAACGAAAACTCGGTCTACGCCGGCGCCGGTGTCTACCCGCTCGAGGGCGGCTACATTTACATTAACGTCATCCGGTTCAAGTCGCACGTCTTCAAGTTCTCGTGCATCAACGGCAAGCCGAGCTTCGCCAAGGTCGCCGACTCGCCTCAGACAAATGGTTATGTCCTCGGTGTCAGCCACGGCACCGTCACCTCGCTTGACGGCCAGCCAGGCACCGGTCTCGTCTGGGTCACCGATGTTCAGACTGTTGCTGGGTCCTCGCCTCTGTCGACAATCCGTATCTACGATGCTATTCCCAAGGATGGCGCCATGGTGCTGCGCAAGTCGTTCAACGTGCCCGGTATTATGAAGTTCACCCGTGCCGTCTTTGGCGATGGCACCCTCTTTGTCGGCACGAACCAGGGCTACCTCTATGCCTTTGGCGCGCCCACCAAGTCGCCGCTCGACTGCTCGCCGGCGCCGGCCACCTTTGGCTCTGTCAACATCAACGCCAAGTCGGACGAGAAGACAATTACCTGCAAGGCTGTTATTGGTGTTCGCCTCACGGGCGTCGAACTCGACAAGGCCCAGGACTACGCCATTTCTGGCACGCCTAATATGCCGTTGCAGCTTGCTGTCGGCCAGCAGTTCACGGTCAAGGCCACATTTACCCCTGGCAGCGTCGGCACGCTCGCTGACGACATCAAGTTCAACACGACCAACTCGGTCGCTGGCTACAGGACCACGTCGACTGTTCGCCTCAACGGTACTGGATCCAGCGCCGATGCTCTGCTTGCCGTGTCACCGAACCGCATCGTCTTCCCGACCTCGGTCGCCGGCCCCAGCCCCAACGACCTTTCGGAGAGCGTCATCCTGAGCAACCAGGGTAACGCTGAGCTCACCATCACCTCCGTGCAAGTCTCGACGGCCGGCGCCAGCGGTCCCTTTACACCGTTCACAGACGCTGGGGATGTCAAGGTGTCGGCCTTTTCGGTACAGGGCGTGCCCACGTCGATCCCCGCCAGCGGCAACGCAGTTCTGACTGTCCTCTTCGACACGACCACGGCGGGTGATTTTGCCGGCTGGGTCAAGATTGTGACCAACGGTGGCGAGCGCACCTTTTCCATCGCCGGCAGCGCAGGCGCGGCTCCTGTGGCCCTGCTCCAGTTCCAGAAGCCCGACGGCTCGGGCTGGGTTGACTACGTTGACGATAACACGCCCTTCACGTTTGGCGACGTGACGCAGAACACATACCGCTCCCTGCTCTTCCGCGTCACCAACGGTGCTGCCGCCGGCGGCGTCAAGCTCTCCCTGACCGTGTCCAAGCCGCCTGTCGGCTCCAACAGCATTATTCGCGCCGCCAACCAGGTCGATCTCGCCGAGGGTACTCTCCTCGCACCCGGCGAAAGCGCGACGGCCGTCATGACATGCACTGTCCCCAAGACGCAGTACAACCAGGACGCCTACAACGGCACGACGACCTGGACCATGAACACCAACGACCCCGTCTCGGGCAAGCACGTCATCCCCTTCTTCTGCAACGCCGTCACCCAGCAGGCGCCGCCTCTGCTCGCCAGCGGCCAGGGCAAGTACCGCTACGTCGGCTGCTTCAAGGACAACACGCCGACCCGCCAGCTGTCGAACCAGCTCTACGGCAACAACGCCGGCGAGAACACCATGTGCATCGCCGCCTGTGGCGCGCGCGGCTCCATCTTCTGCGGCACCCAGTACCACCGTGAGTGCTGGGCCGGCAACCTCATCCCCAACACCAAGGTCGCCGACGCCAACTGCAACTTTGACTGCGCTGGCGACCTGCAGCAGATTTGCGGCGGCAACGGCGTTGGTACCGGGGCCGGCGGCACGTACATCTCGCTCTTTGCCGACTCGACCCAGTGGGACGGCAACCTCACGAGGCCCGACAGCGGTGGCGGCACCGTCACGCCGCCTGTCGGAGGCCCCGTCGCGAACCCAGGTGTTGATGGCTACAAGCACATTGGCTGCTACACCGAGGCGACGCAGGGCCGCGCTCTGCCGACCGAGGGCAAGGTCACGTCCAAGACGGTCGCCAGTTGCGTTGCTGCCTGCAAGGGTCTCAGCTTGAAGATAGCTGGTGTCGAGTACGGCGGCGAGTGCTGGTGTGGCAATGAGCTTCGTGGAGGATCCGTCGCTGCGCCCGCCAAGGACTGCAACATTGCCTGTGGCGGGAATTCCACCGAGCTCTGCGGTGGTGGTTCTCGTCTCAACGTTTACCAGCTTGACGATGGCACGTTGACGACGACCACGGCGGCCACGACGACGATCGTCGCCACCTCTTCCATCCTCGAGAGCTCTTCTGTCCCCGTCGATTCGGTCCCCCCGACCACGACTACGACGACCTCGGCGACTCCCACTCCAACGGGCCCTGCCATCCGCCAGATCGTCAGCACAGAATGGTCCTTCCAGGGCTGCTACACCGAGACGAAGAACGGCCGCGCCCTCTCCAAGAAGTCGTACGCTGATGACCTCATGACCCTCGAGTCTTGTGCCGCTTTCTGCAAGGGCGTCTCGGCTGCCTTCTTCGGCGTTGAGTACGGTCGTGAGTGCTACTGCGGTGATTCCCTCCGTGACGGCAGTGTCCCGGCCACGAACCAGAAGGACTGCTCGTTCCTGTGCCCTGGCGACAAGACCACCTACTGTGGTGCCGGCGATCGTCTGCAGCTGTACAAGTTTGGCCTTGGAACCTCTACCGCCGTGACTTCGACCTCTGCTGTTACTACCACTTCTACAACTTCTGCTGCCGTGACCACTGACATCAGCTCGACCACCACCCTAGCCACGCCAACCTCCACTTCGCCCGCCATCCGCCAGGTCGTCCGCTCGCGCTACAACTTCCAGGGTTGCTACACCGAGGCGGAAAACGGCCGGGCCCTCGAGAAATCGACCATGGCCGACGACCTCATGACGCTCGAGATGTGCGCCGACTTCTGTGCCGGCAGCACCTACTTTGGCGTCGAGTACGGCCGCGAGTGCTACTGCGGCGATGCCCTCCGCGACGCCACCGTCAAGAGGGCCGACAACCAGGACGACTGCTCGTTCCTGTGCCCTGGTGACAAGACGACCTTCTGCGGCGCCGGCGTCAGGCTGCAGCTGTACAAGCTCGGCGATGCGCCGACTGTCGCGGGAAGTACGGCCTCGAGCTCGACTTTGACTGTGACAACGACGGCCGTGGCTTCCACTGTGACGACGTCGAGCACGTCTGTTGCTACTACGTCGAGCAGCACTTCCGCTGCTGTCACTACGTCAAGCAGCAGTTCTGTTGTCAGTACGTCAAGCAGCAGTTCTACAGCGCCCACTACCACCAGCACGACCAGTGTTGCTATCACCACGACAAGCACTACCTCTGTCGCTCCTACAACCACCAGCACCACCTCGACAGCCACTCCCACTCCCACCGGCCCCATCATCTGGCAGGGTAACAGCAACTTCACCTACTACGCTTGCGTTTCGGAACCGTCCAAGGGCCGTCTCCTCACCAAGCAGGTCTTCAACGACGGCGTCAACATGACCACCAAGGCCTGCGCCGAGCGCTGCTGGGACTACGGCTACGCCGGCGTCGAGTATGGCCGCGAATGCTGGTGCGGCAACACCCTCAATTTTGCCGGCGACACGGGCGCCACCCCGGGCAAGAATGTCACCGACACCGAGTGCAAGATGACGTGCCCTGGCGACAGGAACGTCTACTGCGGTGCCGGGTCAAGGCTCAGTCTCTACATCAACCAGAAGCTTCTCACCTGAAGGATGTGATTTCTTTTTATTTTCCTCTCTACAAATATTTAAATCGGGACCAACAATGGCGCATCGGGATGAGGCGAACCGTCCTTGTATTTAGGGAGCAATGAGCGGGGTGATAGATTGATGCCCCTGTAGACATATCTTGCCATGACAGTTAGCTTTATCTACTTAATGTCTGTTTCGTCTGTCTTTCTGCTGCGTCGATTGACGTGGTGTATCCGATCCTGTTGATGTTGGCTAGAGTTTTGAAGACACGAGGGGCCTGCCAGTCAGATGGTTCACTGTGTCAGATTGCCTTCCTCTGAGTCTGTTACCCAATGCCCAAATATGTTGATAGAGACGAAGCATTGAGGAATATCCCCTTGCAATCCGAGAACAAGGGAACCAAGTTCGATTCCCGTCGTATGGACTATCCTGCCACCCAGCCGCGGGTCTTCTTGTGACCATTGTATGAGCTGCCTTTTGGTTCATGAGCGAAACGCAAAGTACAACAATCAAGCTAATCTTTTCACTCAGCACTAGCCACTCTCGAAATGGTAGGGCTCGCACTCGGTAGATGTATCACGCTGGTATTCTACACACTCCTAATCGGTGTAGGGAATGACAGTGAGGCTTGTGTTCATCCAGGCCACATGCGAATAATCTTGCAGAATGAACAACAACGAGAGCTCCAATTAGTTCGTCCAGCGAACACTATGGCCACTACCATGCATAAGACGACATTACACATTACCATCTACAGCCGAGACTCTTTTTCTGCCCCCTTCCGCAGCTGCTCTTGGATCACCTTGCCAACCGCAACACATTTCTCGTCCCCGTATTTCCCGCATACGACTTGGATACCGACAGGCATGCCATCCACCAAATGAATGTCATCTACACGCTGGTCAGCATCACGCAGAGTAGACTTTTGGTAGGGCATACCCACATTGCGACTTATTGAACTCGTCCGCCTTGTTCCTTGGTTGATGCGCCTTCCATCCCGCCGTTCCGTCGCCATCCTTTTCTCTTGAGGCTGTTGTCACGGGAAGTGCCAGCGCCGCCCAGTCCACGAGATTCCAGATACTGGTGTACCCGACGTACTGGCTCGATTTGACCCACGTCCACGGCTTGTAGCCCACCCAGGGAACAACGGGCATGATCAGTGCGTCCATCTCGGCCTCCTGCCAGCGGCGCAGGTATTCCGTCTCGTATTCGTACTTGTCGGCGAGCAGCTGTCCGTACTTCGTCAGCAGCTGAGCCAGTCTCGGTCAAGGAGAACACATCCGCTCAACATACCTCGTGTGTCTGCGCCGTCGTCAACAGGTTCTCCGGCTTTCCAACAAGCATGCCTTCGATTAAGGGCTCGCCTGACATGTCGCATAGTTTCTTGCACGCTAGTCCGCCGTCTGAGAGAATGGCCTTTTCCCAAAGGTCGTACGCACGTGCGTGGGATGAGGCATCCCATTCGATCACTGTACTCTCGTCAGTTCAATGAAAGCTCGATGAAACAAGAGGGAACGCACCTTCGTGGCCGGCAGCTTTGAGCGTAGCAATTGTCTCCTGCATGGCGCGCTCTACTGGCGGCTGCGTCTTCACGACACCGTCGTCAATGATGTAGCCGATACGCAGCCTCTTGGTCGACGGGATCACGCAGCATTCGGAACGCCAAGGAATAGGTGCGACCTGGGAGTCGACCTTCCATGGTTCGCCCTCTTGGAAGGCCTTCATGTAGGTCTCGATACCGGAGAGGGTGCCTGTAAGAGGGCCCGCGACGGGACGGACAATGTGTTGGCGGGGGCTGTTCAAGGAATGTCAATTGATGTGCCTTTCAGAAGAATCATGGGCCTTACCCTCCGCGCTCGTACGTGTGCCTCGACAGAGTCGGAGAGAGTCCGTATAAGCCCGTCAGCGCCGCAGGGATTCTAATGGACCCGCCAATGTCCGTGCCGACGCCGAGGATGCTGCCGCGCGCCGAGATGAGTGTCGACTCGCCGCCGCTGCTACCGCCGGAGATGAGGTTCCGATTGAGGGCGCCGACGCACTGGCCCCAAACGTGGTTGTACGAGTCGGACATCATCATGGACTGCGGCACGTTGGTCTTGACGTAAAAGACGGCACCCAGTTTTCGCAGCACGTGCGCCGTGTTGGAGTCTCTGGCGGCCGGCTTGCCGACGAGCCCGACCCAGCCTGTGATGGCGTTCAGCTTGGAGTGCATTTGCCTTCGAGCTGCCAGCTCTCAGGGCACTTACCGACGGTTGAGTCCTTGCCCTTGATGTCGAGACAGTCCTTGATGCTGACGGGCAGACCGTGCAGCGGACCAACAGTCTTTCCTGTGCGCGCCAGCACATCATCCAGCCTCTGAGCTTCGGCAAAGGCTTCGTCGAAGAGGATCTCGGTGCAGCACGTCGTGAGCTGGTGGGCGATGGCAGCGCGCTTGGCAAAGGCCCGCACGACGGTTAGAGATGACAGATCCCCGCGTGCCAGCTTGTGCAGCAGCACGGCAGCATCGCAGGTCTCTGTGATGTGCAGCTCCTCGGTCGTTAGAAGACCGTGTGAGCGGATGTAAGCGAGTGCCGAGGGGGCCGAGGATACAGAGGGGATCGAGGCGAGGCGCCATTCGGCGGGGATTTGGGCGAGTTGGTGGGCACGCTTGGCTGCAGCGCGGTCGAGGTAGGTTTCCGGCGTAGGGTCCGACGTTTGCTGTAATTGTATCATGGTGTGTGCCTATCTTCCTTGGTAATCGTCAAGTCCTCAGGGTCCAACAATGCATTTTCTGGCGAAGGGAATGTGGTCTACGTGGAGCTTATAAGTCGCAGGAGAAGACGTGACGTGACCGACGAGCTTCCTAGTCTGGATCGCTTGCCTTAGCTTAAGATACAGTGAGGCAAAATATGTTCGGAAGGCGGTACGCTGGATAAGTAGGGTACCGCAAAGGGAATAAACGCCTGTCCACCTTCAACCAAACCGATGTCGGAAACATATCGTGCTCATGGCGGAATTGATAACGTCGAGCCTCTACCCCCCCAGATCTCCAAGCCGCGGGGGGACTTTAGGGGCAGTCAATGACGCGGAAATATGCCATGGCCCCCTTGACTCCCTTGACTCGCGGGGGCGTGGAGGGAGGGTGATAGATTCCTTTCCTAAAGAGGAAGCTAATCTACATTCCTCAGGCTCCCACTACCACCCAACGCACCACACCCTTTTGCCACGTTCTTGCACATCATTACAGCAGGCCTATTGCTCGCCAGTGTGCCTCACATCTCATCTCGGCGTCTGGATACCGCGGGAACTCGGCAGCGCGACAGTTCTGCCAGTAACGCCGCACGACATCGCACTGCTCACGTCTCGTGACCCTCATGCCCGCGAGGAAGACCGCGACTGCGAGGTGCAGATAGTATCTCGACGACACCGGCATCATCTCCATAACCTGGCAAAGGCGATCCACAGCTTTCGCCATCGCTGTCTCCATTCCCGGCGGCGGCAACCTCGTCTCGGCATCCTCAAGTCGCCCAAGTACCGCAATCGCCGCCGCGCACCGATAGGCATCCGCCGTTCTCGCAACGTCCGTCTCACACCCCTCAAGTTGCAAAAGGGAGTCCATGACCATGAGACAACTACCGATGGGGTCAGCGTCGACGCCTCCCACGACGACATGAGTGAAAACATGGAACGTCGACGCCGGACACCCGACAATGTCAAAGAAGCCAGCAGCGTTCAGCGTCTCACGGTGCCAGTCCTCGAATATTAACCCTGTTGTGCCCCGGATGATGGCACCCATGACATCAAACCACAAAAGGTGCGACACCATCTCTGACAGGCCCGTGACGTCCCGTGCCAGCACCTCAAGCTCGCCCGTCGTCCGGCAGTGGAGGTCGAGCAATGACCTCGCGCCGTAGAGGTGACGCTGCCACTCGCCAAAGGCTCCCTCACAGACCTCAAAAAAGGCAAAGGCCGCGATGCCAACGAATGCCACGGGATTCGCCGTCTCGAGCGCCTCGCTGAGATCCATGAGCGCAGCGATGTAGTCGAGCGGCCCAGCCGTTCCGCTCACCGTCGTCTGCACCGGCGCCGTCCCCATGCGAGCCTGCACGAGGTCATTGATGCGTGAGACGAGCCGTGTCGTTGTAGCTTCCGACAGCTGCCGCCGCGCACCGCCGCTGCCCTCGAGCGCCTCGATGTGCCGGCAGAATGAGGAGAGTCGCTTGATGAGGCTGTAGTGATCTGGCCCCGATGTGCTCTGCCCTTCCTCATGGACCGGGCCTACGTGTGTGTCCGCCGTTCGGCCGGCGATCACGGCAACAACAGCCGGGCGTGCTGCCGGCGTTCGGCTGCTGACGTTCCGGGTGTCCGGTTTTCTGCGTTTCGGCTTCGTGGATGCAGCGACGCTGGTTGGCGATGTCTTGTTCGCCCAGACGACGCGCTGCGGATACCCACCACAGGGCAGTTCAGAGGCGACACAGGGCTGGCATCTGGGTCGATTGAGGTCACATTTGATGCCCCTCGTCTTGCAGGCGCGACAATCGCGGTCCCGCCGCATGCCTCGTGGCTTTCCGCGGGGCTTTGTTTCTCCCATTTCTACCGCGACTTCTCGTAAAAGTGCCTGATCATGCAAGGGCTCATGGAAGTGGTCCGACAATGGATGTGTGACTTGAAGTGATAGGGTGAGGCTCGTTCGTAGGTAGGTTGCTTGATTGGGAAGAAAGCAGACAGCTTGAATGTGCCCACGGATCAGGGGCTGGCCGTGCATTTAGGCCATCGGATAGACCCCCGAGGCTTGCTGGATCCCAAACTGCGGGGAACTTGATTGCTTGCCGGATGCAGCAAGTGATCATGTCGTCCGCCGTGGGAGCCGCGGTAGGGTAGCCCGACCCGTATTTGGTCGGGGCATTTTCTACGCTATTGGCATGAGCCGACGCCCTATCGCCAGCCGTTTATCCTCCTGGCGAGGGGTGATCTGCACGAGTGTGCAGTATGTCGCCGACAAGGCTTCGTTATCTCTGCAAGAACATGATATGGATCCAGAGAAGTTACAATTACGACCTGCGTATCATCCATAAACCACGTGGACGCCCGTATCCTGATAAGACAAAAGTCAACTCTTTGCACATGGACAATGTCAGAACTCAGAAGAACCAGACACCTGTAAGACAACATTGAGATGTCGAATCCCCGGTACCACAAAAGCCAATCTTGAAAATCACGGTTGCACTTTCGGATCACTTTTACATAATAGCACCTGGCTCCAGTGGATTTTCTTCCAATACTCCGTCTCATCTTGCTGGTTTGAACGCGGGGAAATCGACACCCTGTCTGTCCCCCACGGGGTAGCAAAGAGGCCAACATCAAGAGATGGTAGCCTAGAGCCGGGATCGCAATTGAGGTCAAGGGGCGTCGTAATGGATAATTCACAGGTCGGCATGACTTGGCTGGGTTGCACATGCTTCCTGTTAGTGGGATAGGGATCTGAATTGGAGTGCTGATGCCTAGTTCATATGAGACGTCGTACTCAGGCGACTCAGATATGGGACAGCGAACTGGAGATAAATCGCCAACTGATATCTGAAATCGCCAAAGGACAGCAACCTACAACTCGAGATAACGAGTATCTTCGCCTCTACTTCGGCCTCGCAACTCGAGCCGGCCGCACACAACAGCGGGCACCTGGCCGACGGGATCATGAATCGCGGACGCCAATCCCCTCCGCTCTCGGCCGACCGATGAAAGCCTTCCCAACGGGGAAACCGATCTTCAAAAACTCCGTCATTATCACTACCGACATCATGGTACGCGGCCCATGCCTACCGCAGCCCACCTCCACGTTATCTGCCCCACGAACGGCTTCGACAACCTTGAGACCGCTCCCCTATTGTGCACAGCACTTGCTACGAACCGTTGCGGTTATGCCGATGAGGCCATAAATACGGCAATCCTTCGCTTCCATCAAGGTTTGCTCCCGTGTTACCACCGACTGTGTCTTGTCTGCTCCACTCCTCCCCCACAAAGCGCGGTAGACAACTCCATTCTTGGAAAACCTACCATCGTCCTGTTCCCCAGACGAAGCACGTTCGAGCTTCCCTGAGTCACGACATCCTATTGTTCGACTCATCGTCTACTGTCCTGTAGCCCGACATGCACCACGCCGTCGACATGGCTGCCAAGGACCCCATGGCTTTCGAGCAGGCCTCAACAAAGGAAGATGGCATCACCAGCCAACTCGAGGATCCTCTAACTCGCGCTGCCTACCGCAAACTAGTGCATAAGATTGATCGAAGGTTGATCACGACATGCGGCTTCATGTACTGTGTCAGTCTCGTCGACCGGACGAATCTCGGCTCGGCGAACATTGCCGGCATGTCGAAGGACCTGGAGTTGACCGTTGGCTACCGATACGTCAGTTAACCGCCGTCCGATCTTCCACGACAGATACTGACAGCCGCAGTCACTTATTGCTCTCGTATTTTTTATCACGTTCACGTTATTCCAGCTTCCGGCCACGGTCGCCTGTCGAAAGATCGGCGCCAAGGTCTTCCTGCCGGGCATCACGCTGGCATGGGGCTTTCTGCTGGTATGGCCTGCTTTGTCAATGGCTTCGTAGATGCACCGATGGCTAACAAGACGGTTAGGTCGGTTTCGGGTTCCCTCAAAATTGGCAGACAATGGTTGGACTTCGTATCGTCCTTGGCTTGCTCGAAGCTGGGTTCCTGCCTGCCTGTCTCTTTCTCATCTCCACCTGGTATACACGATACGATCTGCAGAAGCGCATCTCATGCTTCTATATGATCGGCTTCTTCTCGTCAGGCATGGGTGGTATTTTGGCCTATGGCTTGATGCAGATGGTGAGTTTACACGGTGCTACAACTGCAAGCCAAAACTGACGTCTTCAGGATGGACTCGGCGGCCTTGAAGGCTGGAGATGGATCTTCCTGATGGAGGGCCTTGTGAGTATCATTCTCACCCGTCAATTGTAGAGCGCCCAGCTAATCAACCCAGATCACCGTTGTCGTTGCCACCATCTGCTACTTTACCATTGTCGACTTTCCCGATCGAGCCCACAACAAGTCAAAATTCCTGACCAAGGAAGAGTGCGAGATTGTCATGGACAAGATCAACGCTGATCGCAGTGACGCCGACGAAGAGGCGTGGGACTTCCGCAAGCTGATCGCCTCCGGAAAAGATCCTCTCATTTATGGCTACGCCCTGATCTTCTTGTAAGGCCGCCGCCTTTGACTTCCTACCACCCAGAGTACTGACAGGAGCGTGCCCAGTGGCTTGACTGCCATCACCTACGCCGTGGCGTACTTCCTCCCCATGATCCTTCGCGACCAGATGGGCTTCTCGCTCGCTGCGTCCCAGTGCCTCATTGCGCCGCCCTACTTTGTGGCCTGTCTGTACATGTTCGCTACGGCCTGGATCAGCGACAAGTACCGCATCCGCGGCCCAGTCATGATGTTCAACTCGGTTGTCGGCATTGCTGGTTTGGCTTTGATGGTGTGTCTCCTTCGGGTCGTGCGCGTTTGATGGCAAGACTAATGTTCATAGGGCTTCGCGTCCAACAGCGGCGCCGCCTACTTTGGCGTCTTCCTCATCTGCTGCGGCTTCAACACCAACATTCCCGCTTGCATGACCTATCAGGTACGTCTCAACTCCCAGAACCGGTTCTTTCGGGGGTACTCATTGTTCGCAGTCCAACAATATCCGCGGCCAGTGGAAGCGTGCCTTTTGCTCTGCGACCCTCATCGGCTCAGGCGGTGTCGGCGGTGTCGGCGGTGTCGGGGGGTTCCCTCATGTTCCGCAGCCAAGACGCGCCCGGGTACCGTCCCGGTATTATTGGGTCGATTGCCTGTCGCTTCTTGGTGTTGTTCGTCATCTGCTTCAAACACGTGGTACTTTAAGCGGGAAAATGTCAAGGCAGATAGGGGAGAGAAGGTCTTGCAGGGGCACCCTGACTTTAGGTATACTGTTTGAGCGGCCCAGCATTTTGAATGATACTTTCTATTGATGCAATTTCTTTTGAAAGTTTCTTTCTGGATCGAGGCAGGAGAAGGTGGGAGACGGCGAGAGACTTTGGCTCGTTGCATTGCCTTGATAGCCATGGTTGATGGGTATGATTGGAGCTTCGATTCGTGTGTGAATGCCCTAACTCGCAGTATTGCACGAACCATTTGATTCCCTACACCAAAGCATGAAACGAGCCCGAGTAAGATATCGCCAAATCTACAAAGCAAACCCTAGTAACACCCTCCCTCATGCGGCCTCTCATACCTCGGCCTCTCCCTCCCATCCGGCCCAGCCTCCAGGCAATCCAGATACAGAATCTTGCCCTCCTCCGACCAGACCCTCAGATCCGCGCCCTCCTGCCCCCAATCGATCGACTGACCATTCACACTAAGATAGCACTTCCCCATCCCCTCCGTCGTCCAAGTACTCTTCTCGGGCCGCCACACCTCCACCGTCCCGTCCCCCTCCACGCCAACCTCAGCCCTGTCAACAGCCACGACCTCCCCCTGCCCCTTGAACGAAAAGCACCGCACGCCGCACGTCCGGCAGAAGAAGAAGGCCGTGCTGCCCTCGCCCGGCCCGCGCGGCCGGTACGCGCCCAGCGCGCCGAGGTCCCGCGGCGCGAGCAGCGCAAAGTCGTCCGGCGGCGACGCGGGCCGCACGTGCAGCAGCCCGGCCTTGTGGCAGACGGTGCAGTTGCAGCGGTAGACGCACGGCTTGTCGGCTGGGGAGCTGCGCTGCGTGGGCGTCACGGCGTGGGCGGTTAGGGGGAGGGCGAGGCGGAGGACGTAGCGGGTTGCGCGGCAGTGGCAGGAGCCGGTGAGGGTTGTGAGGATGGGTTGGGCTGCTGGGGTAGACATTCTTTTCTCTTCTTTTTTTTTCTTTTTTTTTTTTTTGCTCGTCTTTTGAAGGGTTTTCGTGCGTGTATGTCGTTGGTAGGGAGACTTTGGGTGAGGATGGCGATGTTTTGCTTGATACCGACCGATGTTTTGGCACGATGGTGGAAGAATCAGGTTGCGGACAACAAGAAGAGTCTTTAAGAAGTAATGCAGATAGTCGATTCCGCAAATCCAACTAGCAAATCGTCGTCAAAGCCTGCGAATTGTCTCCGAGAGGGCGTTCCGATGCAGGATGACACCAAGGGAAGCCTAAAAGGCGATAAACACCGGTCGAGATATACCTCCTAGCGCGCCCTTCCCATGACGACGGCGCTCACTCCTCTTTCGTCACACCACTGCAGGCGACGCACCTCTGGCCCTTGTCTTACACGCAGCGTCAGCCTGAACTAGCGGTCCATCATGGATGATCGCACGTGGATCGCGGTATGGGAATGGTCAGCAAGCGTGGAGCCGCTCCACGTCTGTTGGAATGTGGTGCAACTCTATGTTCCCTTGGATCAGCCCGGCCCGCCAGCCCTAAAACCCCGGAATCTGGGAAACGCCCTATCTCCCTTTGTCGGCAACTGTCGCCGAGGCACGCACTGCTCCGTGCCACATCATGTTGCATTCCAGGCGTGATCATCATGGCGGGGGGAACTGACGTCGACACCTTTCGTTATTACAGTATCCAATACAGCACCGTCATGATGAACATGATTATAAAAACAAAAAAAGCAAACTCGCTTTCATCTCCTTTCATGCATCCGGTCCGGTCGTCCGTCCCATGTGTCCAATGCAATCGCTTATCAATCCAAGAAGACGTCCTTTTCCCACTCGGCCGGACACAGGTCGTCCCATGTCAGGCTCTTGCCCGTGTCCGTGTCGACGCCGCCGACACGCTTGCGTTCATTCTCGTCCTTCGCCTGTGCACGTCGCGCCTCGAGCAGCTGTCGGGCGTGGCCTGTCCACCACATGGAGGGCCACAGGGTGTCGATGGGTTTCTTGTTGACCCAGTTGTGGTGTGCGACAACGGGGATGACGCCGTTGCAGACCTCGCTGTAGAGTGGCAGCTGTTCCCAGCGGGGGCGGCCCTGTTCGGCAAAGAGTTCGAGACCGCCAGTGTTGTCGACGAGGTCGCGCGGCATGGGCGCACGGGGGCTGCAGATGATCTTCTGTCCGTGGGCAGGCTTGTCCACCTGTGGGCCGAGAGGGGCGCTGTGGTTGACAAACGTCGTGTCATGGAGAGCGTTGGATGTCTGGTGCGAAACCTCAGAGAAGTGGTCGACCATGATGCCGAACTCGTAGCGCTGGTCGACATGGTAATCCGGATCGCTCATGAGCTGATGGTCGAACGAGGGGTTGAGGGGGTCGTCGATGAGGAGCGTCTCAATCTTGTGTGGCCTGCGAGGGGCACCAGGACGCGTAGGCACCATGCCGTCAAGGAAGCGGTCCCAGGCGTTGCGGTGGTGGCGGCGCATGACCTCGCGGTGGTACTCCTGTTGGCCGAACATCTCGTTGAAGAAGCTCTGGTCCGAGCCCTTGTGGCACTTGGGGAGATAGTACTTGTCGCCCTTTTGATCGCCCTCGAGACACTTGACCATGTTGCGGTTGGCGCGCTGGAAGATGCGGCGCATGTCTTTGACGGGGCCAATGATGAAGCCCGACACGAGGTGGCGGGTGCGCAGGCCAGCCCACTGGGAGGGACCATCCATGGTATCGGTGACGGCCCCGTAGATGTCGTTGGGCAGAGGCGACTCGGGGACAGGGTAGCAAGCGACGCTGCGGATTTCGTTGGGTCCGCAACGCTTGCTGGCCGAGAAGATGACCTTGGACGAGATCTTCTCACGGGCGAAAGCCTTGCCCATGCGCTGGGCAATGCGCTTGTCTTCGGCGGCGCGAAGCGCGTGGTAGCGGGCGACGAGCGTCTCCGGGGGCAGCTGGAACCAGACATCGTAGGCGTCAATCATGATGACGAGATCGTCGTCGTACTTCTTATTCTTTGGGTCCTCGAGCCACTTCAGGGTGCCGGAGATCTTGGCGAGATGCGATCCCTTGCCGAGATATCTGTCGTCGTCGAACTTTTGATCCCACATGACGACGGTCGGGCGGGGGTATCCGAGGATGGTCTGAGCAAGCATATTCTTGCAGAAGCGCGGGTCGCTCTTCGATACGGGAATGACCATGTGCATGCGCTTAGGTTCCGCGATCGCATCGTCGCCCTTGACCGTCCCTACGGGTATCGTATCGACATCGGTGGCCCATGGTCGTCGGACACGCCAGGAGCTGGTCTCTGAGTTCTGCTGTGGAGGCGAGGCGAGGGGTCAGTCCAGGCCTGGGAGGTGTCACGACAGAAGTCTGAGGTGAAGGGGAAGAGAGGACTGCGAACGTACAAGGCTGACGGAGACGAGCAACAATGTGACGAGGAAGGCACCGATCAGAATGAGCAATTGCCTCGGGCGCCGCGTCGGGAGAAGAGCGGCAGCGTTGTGTTGCCAGCTTTCGAAAGTCGTCATCTTGATCGCATGCTGGGGGTCGTCGGTCCGAGGAGGGGGAGGAGAGACGGAGGTTGCAGACAGGCAGGCAGTTGACAGAAACACGACGACTGAAGACACGAGTGAAGACGCGAGTGAAGAATCGTGAGTAGTTGATGAGTTCAGCCCCTGGATCTGTTTGCTGACGGGCGTGGCTTCGTTATCTGCCAGGGTTTGGGCGTGACGAGTCGAATGGCGAAAAAGCCAAGGACGTCTTGCAGCGATGCCACGGAATCCTTTGGTGGTAGACCCAACTTGGCGACTTGGCCGACGAACCGCGCCGCACTTGCACATCCACCACGACACAGCACTTTCCACCCACCCAGGCAAGTCAGGCCTGCCAGGCTGGAACAAGGCGGCGGGATGGGCGCGTTCCTATTTGGCGGTAGACTTTTTTATTCCCCTTTTAGTGGCTCGTGGGGCCTGGGGCAATTACAACCATGGCCTGTGTCCCCCCAAAGTCGAGGGGTCAGCTCGGCGCGAGACAGGCTGGTGGGTAGAGGACGAAGGAGACGCCAGGGGGGCGCACGGGTGGCCCGAGTCAGCTCCATAGATTTGGCGTCATGTTAGGGGCGTTTGACTTCGATTGGAGAGAGGTGTCACCAGATGAGGGGGGTTCGAGTGTGGGAAAAGGGGGGATAGAGCTGCCTGGAGCCTTGGAGCCCTACAACACTGGAGAGTTGGACAGGGTCAGCAGGCCAGCAGGTGACGGGGTTGGGCAGGACGTGGGAGGCAAACCTTCGTCCAAGACAGGGGCCCCTGGTTCTCCTAATGGCAATCTCCACGACTTGGAGGTGCCAGCTTACTCTCAGCGCTTGATGGCAACTAGCTTTATGCGCCAGCAAGTCCAGAACGCGGACACCAGAGAAGGGACGAAAGCCTGTCGAACCGCTTGCGCGACAAGAGAGAGGGGATGATGGTTCTGTTCCCACGTTGACGGGTACACTGGGATGACCGACGGGCTGTGGACAGATGGGTTCTTCCCGGGCCGTGAAACCTACTGGGGAAAAAGGATTGGGATCGATGGGCGACAAAGGCAAATCGATGGCTCGATTAAGATTGGCTGCTTGGCTGCTTGGCTGCTTGGCTGCTTGGCTGATGTCTCGGGTGCCACGAGCGGGTGGATTGGTGCGAGATTGAGGAATCTGGTTGCTGAGGATTTGTCCCCACCGGAAAGGATGCACGTGCGGTGCCCTTTGTTCTGTCACTTTGCCTCTAGTAGCACGTGATTAGCGTTACCACTCGCTACGGGTTGCCTACGGGCCTGTCTTGGCCTACCTACCTAAGGTACCTAGGTACCTCGGAAGCCGCTCAGGGTGCGCAGTGGCGCGATAAGCATCTCGATTGGCTTGGCGGGTACGGCAGGCCTCTAGGCAACCCTGCCTCGCCTGGAGAGCACAGTTGGCAGTCTCCACGCACTGTAACCCATGGCCTACAGGTGCATCACCACCGCCACAGCATCAGCGTCATCGGCGTCATCACGAATCCTCGATGCAGAGATGCCCTGCAATAACGCAGCGCCATTCAAGAGCCTGCATCACCAATCCAAGAATCGCCATCATCGTGGCCAGAGATACAGCCATCAGCAGGCGCCCCGGCCGCGGCTCGTCTCGGCAAATAATTCCTGACACGGCGTATGTACCGAGTAAGGTGAAGTGTCTCGCGATATGCCTGATCAAAGAAGCAGCTCCGGGACCAAAGATTGACCGAGAAATTGACAACTTCCAACCCATTACCTGCTCCAATTTCAAACATGCGACCACTTCATCTAAATCCGAACCCTCCCAGTCATCGAAACCGCTTTCGCGTCGATGTGCAACGCAACTCCTGGTGTCTTGCTCTCAGGCACTGCCACAACGCCAGACCCCTGATCAGTACATGGCGTATGAGTCGACTGGCTGAGAATTATTATCACGAGGCGCACCTGACGAGCAGGTGCAGGTCGATCGTAGAATTGCCATATAGTTACTGGGGGTTCTTCTCATATGGGGCCTACACAGACTACAAGGCTTCCTGCATGCAATGTATGGCTCGTAGAGACGCGTGAATGGTTCTTGTGGAATTGAGCGACCTGCCGAACCTCGGCGCGAACGTAAAGAAGCAGAGATTTCCCACAGCGCCGTGGCGTAACAGAGGATTCCCGCTTCAAGACGCAAACCTCGTTGCTTGTTATGTGAGGGTGATCGCCTTGTTCGGCTGCTGTACCCGAGCCGTGTGCATCGGCAGGGGATTACCTTTCTGACAGGCTTGGATCGGCTTCAGCGAATTGCAACATCTTCCATAAATGCCAACTCTCGACGTGGAGATTTTAGAAAACATGCGTAGTATCGTCCTCGCTGCTTAGATCAGCGGGCGATCACTGATATGTTACAGTCAAGGAGTCGTGATGAGCAACTAGAATTCGACAGGAAAATACTCGTGCAAAGGGCAGTTTTTCTCAAACAATGTGGTGAAAGCAACGTTCTATCCTAGTACTGATCTTTCCTCACCTTGCTTCCACTTGTCGCGGTACAATAAGGGGACGCCTTCGTAGCACATCCTGGCTTCGTTGTGGCCTCGTGTGATTGAAGCCAACCTGACTGCTGGTTTTGCTGTGCATCATGTGAAAGCTGTTATTTCTTGGAGGCTTCTCTGACGCATGAATGTTCCCCAAAATAACATGAATCAGGTTCCAGAAGATGCCTTAATCTGAATGTCACAGAACTTAAACCTTGCAATGCCGTCTGACAACGCATACAAGGTAGCCTGGCCGCCGGTGTAGGCCTCAGACGAGAATCTGATCCAGAGCAGCACCCGTCCAGGAAAGCAGCACCCCCAGATACCAATAGTTGAATTCATTATCTTATCTGCGTTTGTGGGAACATGCTGCAAGTTCTTGTCAATCCAGTACACTTTCGTCGCCAGATGAAAAAATACCAACTGATATGTGAGCTGCCCGAAGCCTTCGTACCCTCAGCGCAGTCGTCAACCGTTGATTCCTTTGAAGAACTGGCTGGCTTAGCATGGGACCTCTGAACCAGGCTTTGCTAGCTTAAGCTCCCTCGAAGGAATTGCCATCACAAGCCCTTGTATGGAGTCCAAAATACCCCCTCCGGATCCCATCTCTCCTTCGTCTTCCTCATGAGATCAATCTGCTCTGGCGAAAACATCTCTTCCAACCTCGTTGCATCCGTCATATTATTGGGTGGAGTTCGTGGACGGGTTCCATCCAGCCGTCGACTGACCTCCATGATGCCTTCCATGAACCCCAAGAGGTCCCGACGTGTCTCCTGGTTGCGACACCACGTCGCCACCAGAACCGCATTGCCCCTCTCCGGATTCTTGAACCCTTCTTCGTCCTGTGCTGGCTCTCTTGGCCTGAAACCCGAGAACACGACCGTGGTCAACTTGGCATCTTCGTGCCTGTCGGTGACGTCCCTCCACTTGGCGAAACTCTCAGCAATCGCTTCACTGCTGTGTCTCTCCAGCTGCGCAGCCTGATTATCCTTGAGTCCGCCGTGCGCATTCAGCGCGTCCAACCTGTCCGGCAAGTCAGCGATGCGCGTCAAGCTAGTCTCGGCATGCACCGTCTTCTCCAGAACCTCAGCGCACAACAGCACAGCCGCTGCCCTCTCAGCATCGTCGACGGGGCCGAAATATCGGACAGACACCATGATGAGCGGCTGCCCAGCAGCCGGCGACCCCGGCGGCGCGCGCACGAAGACCAGTCGCGCAGAAAGAGGCGCAGGCGGCGGCAGCAGGCTCAGAAACGTGGCGGCGGCCGTGTCGAGAGCGGCGGGCGGGAACATGAGCGTGCGGGCCCACACCTTGCCGTCTGCCAGGCGCAGATGGGCGACGGGGTACGCGCGCATCGTGGCGGCCGTTATGACGCCGAGGCCGTGGCCCGCGCCGCAGAGGGTGTGGAAGAGGGCGCGCTCGTCGGGATCGGTCGATGTGCCGCACACCTCCCGCGCGCGGCCGTCGGCCGTTACGAGGCGGAAGGAGACGGCGTTTTCGGCCATGAAGCCGTGCAGACCGTTGAGAGACGAGGTGCCGCCGCCGAGGAGGGCGCCGACCATGCCTACCGCGTTGGAGTCTGGGGCAGGGATGTAGTAGCCCTTGGCGGCGAGGGTCTTTGTGACGTCGGCGGTTGTGGCCCCGCCGCCGAAGCGGACGGTGCCTGCCTGTCTGATGAGGGCGACGGAGTTGAAAGCCTTCAGGTCGAGGTATAGGGTCTTTGGGGTCACACGGACAAACGTCGAATGGCCGCCGCCCGCGGGAAGAAGTTTCAGGCCATTCTCGCGGGCAATAGCGATGGCAGCGGCGATGTCGGCCTCGGTTTCTGGCGTGATAATCAAGGCAGGATGCTCGAGACTGGTTTCGGACCAGCGATGTAGGGCCTCGGTCAAGGGAGTTGAAGGGCTGGGGAAAGAAACAGGGCAGGTAAGGGAAAGCGCTTCTACTTTAGCTGACATTGTGATGTTGAACGTTGTTGGGCAGTCGACAGATTATTGCACAGTGACGGCAGAACGACCAAGGTAGATATGGCAGGGTATTTGTGCCACGAAGCTGAGGAGGGGTAACGCTCCATCCTGAGTTCACCAGAGTAAGCTGACGCGCTTATAACATGCACGACAATCCGTCACAAGTAAGCTGACGCTCCGGTGGACTTCGGCGTGATCGGCTTTCTGCGGTAATGCCAGGGTCCCAAGATCACGAGACGCCGCTGGACGCCGATGCGCATCGGAGTTGGAGTTTTAACGGCAGGCCAGGACTTTGTGGGGCCATCAAACAAGTCATCCGAACTTGACAGGCTATGCTTCTCGGACGAAACGCCATGGGAAGCACGGAACACCAAGGGTTCACCACAGAGAGACGAAAAGCAAGTGACAAACAATAACATTAACAAAACAAGCATCAGCCATGGCGCTATGTAATGGGGGCGGCCAGGTGAGCAGGTATCTACAGCATCGAAGAGACACGTCCCTAGCAGGACTGAAAGCTCTCATCTCTGCCGAATTGCTCTAATCCAAAAAAGAACCCGCGGGCGATGAGCCCAGTCGGTGACGGCCGAAAGCCAGGAGCGACGTCTCTTCTTTCGCGAAGGAAGTGAAGAGGTGGATGGCCGCGTCGGCGTGTTGCCCGTGATTTTGCGCCGTCCCAGTCCTTTGATTTTAAACCCAGAAAATCATGAAAAGTTTGTTCCGAACCCGAAGCACCATGAAGCAAAGAAGACAGAGCGATGACCAACCAGAGAAAGAATCTAGTGGTTGAAATTGTCGCCAATGAGGACGTCAAGGTGGTTCTTGTGGTAGCCCTTGCAGCCGATGCCATCGAGATCCTCCATGCCGGGCATGTAGGCGGCCTCGTTGGTGCCGTCAGACTTGACCCACGAGCAGACCTTGCCGTTGGCGGACACGGACATGCCGGGGTAGGGGAGGCCGGCGGCGCCGGCGACGAGAACGGAGACGTCAGCGCCGGAGTTGCCGCCGTTGGGCTCGCTGCCCATGTCGAACTCGAGCCAGACACCAGCAAGCTGGCCAATGGAGGTGCGAGGAGCCTTGTCACCGGGGCCACAGGCGCAACCGCCCTGGGTGTTGGTGTCGAAAGCCATGTAGACGTCGTCCTTGCCGGGGTCGGCGACGGTGAAGTCGACGGCGGAGAACCAGAAGCCGTCGAGGAGGCCCTTGGGGCCGACCTTGTTGAAGCAGGAGCATGAGAACTTGTCGCCAGTCGAGGCGAACTTGGCCGTGTAGTCGTACTTGTCGACGGCGGCCTTGTCAATGATCTGCATGTTGCAGCCCCAGTTGTCGGCGGTACCGACGTTGCCGGCGTACATGATCTGGTCGAGGGTGGCGCGCTTGCCCTTGCCGTTGCAGAAGGGCTTGGCCTCAGCGTTGCCAGAGGAGGGCACGGCAGAGGAAGAGGCAGCGGCGGCGACCTTGACCTGGGTAGGGGTGGCGACGGCAGTCGTGGTGGGCACAGGCTCGGGAGAAGGCGTAGGCTCCTCGTGGGGACGGCCGGCCTTCTTGAACTCAATGTTGCGGTTCTCGACGTGCTTGCGAGCGTGGAGGTGAACGTGAGCAGAGGGAGCGGCGGACACGCTGCCCAGAGCGGCCGTGAGGGCGATGAGAGTGGTGGAGAAGTGCATTGTGAGGTTGTGTTTTGGTGTCGTTGTTTGTATCGAAAATGACCTGACGATTTGCCCTCTGGATATACGGTCTACGTCGTTGGCGTCGTGAAAAGATCGTGATGCTTTTGCGAGGAGTGATGTATCTGCTTCGTCCGAAAAGGAATGACTGCGAGGACTTTGCTCGCGGGTTGGATGGGGACGATGAGAATCGACTGCTTGCTTCAAGGGAGTGTGATGCTGTCAACAGGATGAGGGAGTAGGGAGAGGAAACGGGGGCAGGAAATGAAAGGCCCATTTGAACGGACAGCCCCTGAAGCGAGGACGTGCGGTCCATGTTAGAGAGTGACATTGACTGGCATGCTGCTCGCGCCCAGAGACACGATGACCGTCCAAGGCACAGGTGGTCACCCCTATGCCGCCCCATCACCACGCCGTCCTGCCAGGATCTAGTCAGGAACAGCCTCCCCGATTCGGAATAGTCACTGATGCTGGTGGACACGCGAGGCAATATCGGGCATGATTAGCTCCAGGGGTAGGGTCCAGGCCCTCGACGGTGGATTGGTTGAGTGGCGACGCGCTCATTTTACCGCCCGCCTTCGCTGGTTCAAGACGACAGGGGGGGAGGGTGTGGAGGGGCCTCTGGCTGCCACTTGGGGCTTCGTTCGCCGCTCGGGGAGCAGTCAAAGAGGTAACCGGACAAGCAAGAAGCATAGCAACGATAATGGCCGGGTCAAAAGCCTGGTCCGGTCCGTTGACTGATCTGCAGAGATCCAAAGAAAATCAAGGCACCTGGAATCGGAGGTTGGAAGCAAGCGCGGCAGTGCAAACATGCATCCCATTCCAGAAAGTGGTCATCGCGTACGTGTTCGTTGTTGTTTTCCTTTGCCTTGCTGAGGAACGTACCAGTGACCCAACAACAGACGATCAGTCAAAAGAAGCGCCGCGTCATGCCGGTCAGCGGCGTTTAGACTGTTCCCTTTTCTCCTCTTTTCTCCTCGATCCAACTCCCTTCCTTGATTCACGTGCCATTCGAGTCAAGTAGTCAGGGCAGCGGTGGAGTCAAAGTAGACGCGCAAACCATCGGGTTGGCATTCTTGCGCCTCCCCTCGCCCACCAGAAGAATGCCATTGTCTGCGAGTCACGTAGCTCAGGGCCGCCAGGTACGCTTCTAACGGTCGCCACGAACCGTGGGATTTGAGTCGACGAGCCGCCGTGACAGACCCGGCCCGTAGCGACAAAGGAGGGAAAAAACTCGTTTCTTTCGAGCACTGTCCATGAATAGGAAGGAGCGATTGTCGCCCGGCGCATCTGCTGTTTGTCGTGTTAAAGAAGGGTGCAGGATCCGTGGGTCGTAACGGAGTGTTGCTTTGTTCGCCTGCGAGGAGACCCAATGTTTCAGTCTTGCTCAGCTGGCCAACAACTTTTGTTCGGCCTGGGAGGCGTTTGGACACCCGACACGACAGAACAAAAGAACAACGGGCGAATGACAAGACGTCGGCAGAAGAAACACAACGGTAGCGCAGCCTACGCTTTCTTTCTGCATATGCCGTCCCCCCCACCACACCGGGACGCCGTCGTGCGAAGTCCAACAGTGCCCCCCTCCTTCTCCTCCACCTCACCATGCGCCGCTGACCACTTAACGTCCGCACCGCTCCACCGCGGCGCCGGCGTTTTGTGCGCACGCTAGGAACGCCGTCAGTCCAGCGGCGAGCCGGCAGAAGAGCGTGCTGCCCACTCGACTCCTCTCTGGCAAAGTCTTTCCGGGCTTCCTGTTCGCCGAGTGGGACTCTCTGCCTTACCCCTCCAAGGCGCTGCACTCCCCTCTCCGTCGACCGCCACTTGGCAGTTCGACGGCAGAGAAGAGGGTCTCCGCAACGCGGTGGAACGCACCCTTCGGTTTACGGTCTAGATCTTTTCGGACCCCAGGGCCGCCACGACCTGCAAGGCACATGCGTGGTTTTGCCCAGAGGAAGACCCCCCTCTCTCGACTCGCCTCGCCGAGGGTGCCCCTCCCCGAGCCATGCCCACTCAGCCCCCCAATGCCGGTGCCGGCGCGGACGCCCACGGCCGCTGTGACAGGTGCTCGCGTGGCATGGAACGGAGGCGAGGGAGCGAAAGGCCCAAGATGCCCCACCAACTTGGCGCAGTAGAAGGCGTGGTGTGAGGCCTTTTCCATGGAGCGGAGGGTTTCTGACGTCCACCTGCCGTGGTGATGACTCGACCAGTAGCTAGGTAGTGGCTTTTTTTCTGGCGTGCTGCAACCAGTCGGTTGGCGTATCTGATCAGAAACTTTTTCTCCCCGCCAGCCTTTTGGGTCATGATCGTGAGGGGTCTCGGCATATCGACGTGGCGAGACCTCTGCTGGGCATCCACGGCAAGTTCCACACACACATACTCGTGCGGCACTTGCAGAGTCTTCTTCTTGTTCCAACGTTTCCCAAAGAGTCGGTCAAGATCGACGTCGGCGCCCGGGGGAAAGAGGCAAGCTAAATGGCCTTCTGTCGGGATATGCAGGCCGCCGAGGAGTTTTCCGTTGGGACGTGAGCATGTGATGAGTACAACGTCGTGGCGCCCTCGTGGCATTCGTCGATGGGCTGTTGGGACTGGTACGACAGACCGATACCAAGGTAGCACGCGCCATATGTATGCATGGCCAGCTGTATGGGACACAAGCTCTGTTGGGATGTCTGTCGTGAAGACGTTGAGTTAAGGTGCCCATGACTTCTTGCCCAACGCACGGCATGCCAAAGAGTCAGGAGCTACCAGCCACAGCCACTGCCGCAGTCAGGAAAAGCCCCAATCGCCGCTTAATTTCTGTGACCCACCAAAAAAAAAAGGTTGGAGATGCCCACAACTTCTTGTCTCCTACACAGGCTACATAGACTTGTCAAAATCGCCCCGAAACCATCGACCGGCCCCTGGTTCAGCCAGGGATTTGATTGCGAACGCGCCGTTGGTCTAGTGGTATGATTCTCGCTTAGGGTCACACCCTGAAGCATTGCTTGCGAGAGGTCCCGGGTTCAATCCCCGGATGGCGCCCACGTCATCATCAGTCTCCGGACTGTCTCTTTTTGCAGTTTTGCACACTGATTCTCCTGACTTGTCTAACTGAGCATTGGCCTTCAACGCGTCTCTCACAATCACGAGTCTCTGCTGAGCCTAGTCAGAGTCGTTGTCACGTTGCTAAATCGGTGCCTAGCCATCATATTAGTGCTGGGTACCATGTCCTCATTTTTGCTAGTACTGCACGTGGGTCGTTCTTAGTAGGAATCTCAAAATTCATACATCAAGTAATAATTCTCAGATAACACTCCACAATTCAAAAAGCAACAAGACTCAAAAACCAATGTGTAGTGGCGGCGAAGATGGAGTCAGTCGGCCGCTCTTTGTAAGCTTGCCTCACGAAGCCAAAACACCAAAAAATGTCAAAAACATACAACATCAGGGATTCGCTGGTGGTCACCCACCCAACTACTAGTCCGACCCTTACTGGCTTATCTATGGGAGAGCGGACGGGATCCCGAGTTCTCCAGTAGGTATGGTCGTATGTGCTGAGACAGCCCAGTTGCGCGAATGATGACTGCCATCACCGGCTTTGCGACCAAAGCCACAGTAGCGCAGAGGTATACCTAGTATAATGCAAAGGATATCAAGCACTGCCATTATATTCGTGACTGTTGACCCATGCTGACTGGCGTCCACTCAGCGGATGACGTACATGTTTGATACTCCCAATGTCTGTATTTCGTGCTTATACCTACCTTGGTGATCAGGTGCTTTCCCCAGACGTCCATGGCATGATCCTGTTCAACCGGGTTCTTCGACGAGAGCCCTGTCAGTTAGTTAAGCTTCTAGACTTTGAACAATTGGAAAATAGAAAGCCACGACTGCATATTGTTGACATGTGTCTAGCATACGCTAGGGTTGGATCGGACTGGAAACTCGAGACCACACCGAATAAGATAGTTGAACTCCTCCTCGGATTAGTAGGCTAACAAAACCGGGAATCTAAAATACCTTTCCTTTCCGATGGGACTCGGCCCAGGGGGCTGATGGGGGCCAATCTCGCCACACTAATTAAGGGAGCGCTTCAGGGCCTTCCATTGTTCATGATTTCCACTCCAGGTATCTGATCGCTTTGTTCTGCAGAGCGAACAATGAAAATGTGGCCATCAAACCTCTTGGCATGGTCTTGATGGGCGCTTTTCCTTAGAGACGAGAAAAAGCCCTACCTTCAGAGATATTTTCAAAAACCCAAACAGATCAACGAAAATAAGAATAGCATAGAATTTGAAGCAAAGTGGTTAGGGGGGCTTAATACCTAAAGTAAGGTCAGCACTCCCAAATATTGAAGATGTAGCAACAAGTGATAGGTACTCAACTGCGTGTGTTGAATATGTGTAGGAAAAAGTAAGAGCCCTCTTACCTTTCTCTACCTACCTATGTGGCACCCCTTTCATACCGCGACCTATAATCGCCCACCGGCTGCCTCGCGGTGTCCTCTTTATGTACTTTTACCCCCGTCTGTCTTGGTATTTCCTCTGACTGACCTCTCGTCTCTGACACCTACCTTCCTTGGATGCTCGTGAAGTCTTGTTTCTCTTGTTAGTCCGATCATAACCGTAAACAAAGTCAAGAAGCCAGCCCCGGAGATGACACGTTAATCACGTTTTCTGGGATGAAGACAACGCCGTTGATGCCCTGCTCAACACTGGCATGTAAATCTATGCTTCTGGAGCAGTGTTTATCATTTTGAAGAAGAAGACTTTCCGGCCCTTCCTCGAAGACTAGTAGCAACCTTGTACGACGGGTCTGATATAATATACTTGGAAAATAAACTAATGTCGACCTTGAATAGCATAAAAAGTTAAATACTGTAATTCATACTAGATATTTGGTCCACGCTGATCCTGTCATGTCCGTTTATGTTTTTCATTGTTCTCCCACGATATTTACTTATCGCAACTTCGTAGTATCGAAATGGTTGAGGCTAAGAGCGGTGGGCCAAGGTGGTACCTGTCGTCCGGCTAGCAATGGAACGAACGCGGCGAGCGCACAAAAAAAAAGCCTGGCTGAGAACCGTTTTTCGCGCAGGCACGCCAGGCAGTTCTGTATAGACAGAATCCCGCCAGAATAAGCAAGATTGGAAGAAGACTTTTCCGAGCTCATCTTCTGCAGGCCGCCATAGCCAACCAGCCACTTCGGACTCCAGCACAGGTGGCAAAAGACCACTTTGCCAGCAGGCAATCAGCACCACAATCCAACCTGGTAGCTCCCCACACCATCCCCACGTCCCCATCGTGATAGCTTCACAAGCCCTGTCTCAATCTCGGACCACAGCAACTCATGACCCACACCGAGACGTTACTGCCTTGATCTACTCATCTGCCAGAGCCGCTTCCCATCGACCGGCCCCTGGTCCAATCAGGGATAGTTCATTCAACGCGCCGTTGGTCTAGTGGTATGATTCTCGCTTAGGGTTACACCCTGAAGCACTGCTTGCGAGAGGTCCCGGGTTCAATCCCCGGATGGCGCCCGATCTTTTGCCGGTTTGGCCTCCGAAGGCCTAAGAAGGTCACTTGGTGGTTCGTGGGTATAGAGCACTGACCGGTTAGACTCCTGATATGTCTACCGTCTTGGTATATATCCTCGACTCAACGGAAGTCTTTGAAAGCACCCCGATGTTTACTCGCCGACATCCCTAAACCTGGCTCAAGGCTTGGCAGTCTGGATGTCCAGTACGTTCAACGTTGTGTTCGATGCAGAATCTTTTTCTTGCTAGTATTGTGTCTCGAGAGGGCGTTATGCTGGTCTTTTCATGCTTGCCCGTCTATTGTTCTGATATCTATGGGGCGTCTATTGGAATATAACTCAAACAGTCTTCTATGGAAAAAAGCTCGAGCTACGCGACGTTGTCGAGCTTGAAGCCTCCACTGACCCTTGTCTGGAAGAATCCTGTAAGGTCGTCTTCAAGGGCAACGTCTTTCATCAGAGCAATGTTCTCAGCGCCGTACGTGCTGAGGGGATCCTGCTCGGGAGCGGTGTAGGGCAGATAGCGGAAGGGGATGTTGCCGTCGACTGACTTGGCGTATTCCTCGAGCTGGTGGGTGATTATAGCCAGGCGGAGGCGGGAGTAGGCCTCCTCGGCGCGCGTGTTGAGTGTTGCCTCACCCGCGAAAAGAATGCCATCGTGCGTTAGGCTGTGTTGTAGTCCGAGAGCATTTCCGCCGGAGAACTTAGCAACGACCTTGGGCAAGGGCTGGAAGACGAAGTTGAGCGACCAGGAGGCGTTTGGGAAGGCCTTTTCAGCGTCTACGATAAGAGTGTGAAACAGTTCCTCGGCCTTGTCCATGATGCGCTTGTCGTTGTGGAAGCAGAGGGTGTACCAGGAGTTCTATCAGGCAATATCAGCATCAGTGCCTCCATTCGACATGCCACCATGTACCACTTACCTCTTGCCACCGTTGTGTTGCATGACGGCAAGGAGTTCGCCGTAGGTCCACCTCGTGCGCATATCCATGGCAGCCGTCATCTGGTCCATCCCGCGGAAGGGTCGAGCGTCCTCATCGCCCGTGGCACTCATGGGGATGGTGCCCATCATTGGAGCTGCTGCACTTGCATTGTAGGCATACATGACAATCATGCTGTCTCCGGGCTTCTCCTCGCTGTCGGAAATGACCTCGATCATTGAATCCACAAGCTCATCCTTGTGCTTCCAGTCGATAAACATGATGCCACCGTACATGATCTTCTTGGGGAAGGTAGCCATGTCGAAGCGGGTGACAATACCCAAGTTGCTGCCGCCTCTTTTGAGGGCCTTGAAGAGCCGAGGGTTGTCGTGCTTGTTGGCGTTGACTACACTGCCGTCGGCGAGGACGACCTCATAGTTCACAACGTCATCGCAAGCAAAGCCTCGCTCGGCAATGAGGAACGAGGTGCCTCCTCCGAGGGTGAGACCGGCGACACCAACAGTTCCGATACGACCGCCTGTGACGCCGAGTCCATGCTTTTCGGTTTCTGCCAGGACGCTCGCCCATCGTGAGCCAGCGCCGATCGATGCGACCTACCATGTCAGCGACAGATCGAGTAATTTGAATCCAGATCGAACCATACTTTGCCGCAGGTCGAATTGTGTACCGGCGTCCTGTTGAAAAGAGAAAGGTCGATCGTCACGCCATTGTGGACGTTGTTGCCTCCCCAGTGACTATGACCACCGCCGCGGACGGCGATGTTCCAGGACCCGGCACCGCTCAGAGGAGCTAGAGCCTTAACCGCGGTAGACACATCGGCTACGGTTTTGGGTTGAAGGATACAGAATGGCCTCATCTCCGCCACAGTAGCCGAGTAATACGTTCCTAGAGCTCGAGTGTACGTGTCATCCTCGCTTGCTGGCAGCAGGAGGCTTTCATCAAGTCCGGCATCAATGAGCGCATCACACTACAGGGTCCTTACGAGTCAACTTGTTGTCGCAACAGAGTATTACCCTCGGTGCCAGCAAGACCGCTGTATGTCTAGTCAGTATAGGGTCGAAGCAACTTACGCGCTTGAACCCGGTGGCCTGAGCCTGGCACACGCCGGCTAGGAACGTAGCAGCGGCGACAATATTAAAACTGCGAACCATGTTCAAAAGAATGTGATGAGCCCCAAGGCCGTAGGAAGGAATGGATGGCTGTAAGAGCTGGCGAGACCACTCATGGTGGGAACATGGTAGCCACGAGGGCGACGTGGTCAAGTTGAAGCACGTTGCGCATCTGCTGTTGTTCTCTCCATCAAGCCGTTGGCGTGTTGAACAGCTCGTGATACCTGTCCTTGTACCCGAAAAACACCCCTGCGCTCAGGGAATGGGCCCTGATTATTCGGCAGGAGACTTAGAATCTATTGGTAGGTACAGCCTTGGCATGCAGCTTTGAATGAAATGCAAGGTACTCGTGCATGAGGTGCAGTTCCGGCGCAAGCAACCCATGCTTAGTGCGCCAGGGTTCACGCAGGTACAGTCGTTGGATATTGCTGTCTTTATGGTCTTAGCAAGCCCGCTCGGTTCGCTTGCTAGGCAAGCTAGGCTCCGGATATAGGGTAATCAGGTTGACGGGAAGCTACTGAAGAGTGACTTGTTTATACTGCAAAATCGTGTAAAGGTTATCTGTTGAGAGGGGCGGTTTTGCTCGTACAAAGCGAAGTACTTCGCATTGAAAAAACCCTTGAACGGCCCTTGTGACAGCTTCATTATAGCTAAAGGTAAAAAGAGTGTGGAGAACTATGTAGCCCATAGAGAACAGATGGTCGTGACTTTCGTTGTGGTGGCAAGATGATGCAAAGTTGTGCGAGATGTGCGATCAAACTCAACGTCTCAAGCGAAAAACCGATTCTCTGACTGGTGATTGTTATCTCAACCAAAGCGAATCTATTTAAAGTTCTCCTGGGGCCGGAAAAGCCTGGATGTCTCTCCTTCGAGACTGAACGTGATCTTTGTAGGGAGGGAGTGAATAGGAGCGGGGGTCCAAAGGCTGTCATCATTTAAGGGGACGATGGTTAGAGGGCTTTACCCATCTAGGAAGCAAACGAAGCATCGCTGAGCAGTAAAAATTTGATTACCAGCGCGAAATGGTTATAAGATACCCGAAACTTGAATTGGGGTCGTCTTAAAACATGATAATGGCAGTTACTTATCGACTCTCCAGAACCCGGCATGAAAGTCAAGTTTGGATAATTCTGTACGGTACGTCTCCGAAACATCTGATTCTGGTTTCATTCTCGAATGGTGTCAAGTTCAAACATAATGTACGTTAATACAACCTTTTTCATTCATGTGGCTCTGAGGACTCATCAGTGACTGACTGTAAGAACTTTTTTAGCCACAACGGAATGCAAACGCGAGCGGTTCACTCTACCACGGTATTGGGAGGAACCTTAGCGTTCCAAAACAGGTGACTGGCCGGAGCCGCTTGAGTCTTACATACCTGAATATGAATATTCGGCGCTTATGCCATCCTGTTAGACCACCTAAGCCCAATGCTGCGCTTGTTGTTGTCTCCAAATCGACCACCTCCCGCACCGGCATTGCCTGCGTTACCAGCACCACCGTTTCTATTGGCATTGCCGCCATTCCGACCCCGTCCGTTGCCGTTTCCATTGCCAGCGCCATTTCCATTATTGTTGTTGTTGTTGCCGCCAGCATTGCCACCCCTGTTGTTGCCGTTACCAGCGTTCCCATTCCCATTTCCAATTCCGTTGTCAGCACCGGCACCGGCACCGGCACCCTCAGTAGCCTCAGCAGGGGCAGACGTAACCGTGTCACTTGAAGCAGCAGGCGCCGCAGGCAGGTCCGGGGTCTGGACTGGGGCGGCTTTGGTGGTAGGGTTGATGTTGAGGATGGCCTCGACAGCGGCAAGGTTCTGCTTGGCTTCGTCGGTGCCGGCGTTGGCGTTGGCCTCGAGCGCCTTGACCAGGTCAGCCTGGTTGTTCTGGGTCTGAGCGAGAGTGAGTTCGAGACTCTGAGCCGACGCCAAGTTGGCGGGCGTGTTGACCTTGGGCTCGATGTCGGTCTGCTGGACAGGGAAGCAGCCGCCAAAGGGCCCAGCGACGGCATTATTCCGGCAGCGGACTGTGCAGACGTTGCCGGTAGAGGCTGTAGTATGATGAGCATAAAGTCTTGGAGGAGAGCCGGCTTTTCCATAGACTCACCACCTGTGCAGGCCAGGTCGTCGGGCAGAGTGACGGTCATCTTAAACTGCTGCGCCTTGGCTTGGGAGAAGCCGTTGGCACCAGGAACATTGTTCGTGACTTTCAACGGAATCTGACCGACGAGACGGAGGCCGTTGCTTGTTTGGTCAAGATCGCAAACATAAGGGCCGGCGCCATCAGCGTTGACTTGGTGGATTGTAACCTCGATAGAGCTTCCCTTGGTGACTTGGGTAACAGCATTGGCGGCCAGAGCGTTTTCGGTATTCTCGCCAATGTCGATATTACCGGCTAGTTCGGTTCGACCACACTCGTTGACAAGGTTTTGCTGAATCTCCGCGTCTCTGATGAGGGTTGCGTCCTGCTGGCACGGAGAGATGGTGGTGCAATTGCGAGGAAGGTCGGGGTTGACTAGTCGATGTTAGTCCACAGTCTCGATGGTATATCATCCCAATGACTTACCCTGGAAGCCAACACTGCCCGGGCCCGCAGGTCCCTGGGCATTCAGAATGACGCCGTGCCCATGGGCGATAGCCAACACAGCTGACGCTGACAAGAAATCGGTGAAAGAAACCATTTTCTATGTGTTCAAGGATGTCTGTCAAAGACCAAAATGTGCCCAGCACTAGAATAGAATGAAGTAGGCTAAAGAAAGATGACTTCAAGCCAAAAGAGCGGACAATTAGATCAAGTGGAAACGGAAAGACTGGATAGAGGATCGAAAGACAAGACGATAATCGAGTCAAAACCATCTGGTGTCTTTATACAACCCATTCTCGAGCATGGCACATACATCCGATTGCCAAGGCTCGCAAGCTCCTTGAACATTGGGTCCTGAGTGCATCGTCGCGTGGTTAGCACTGGCCAAGGCTCTGATCATCTGCAACGGGTTTCGTTCCAGGGGTGGAGTTGCGCTCAGGAGACAGAGGGTACCCCTGTAATCATCGTGGGGACAGGATGGTGTTCTGCAATTTTGCCAGGGCTTTGGGCCGCCGAACACGGCCTAGAAGGGCACGTCCCGAACGAGCCATATGGTTCATCGTGCGGTGCTCGAGATGCTGAGACAGAGGGGAGCAAGTGACCTCGCCAAGGCTATGTTTCGCCCGGATTTAAAAACGACTCCACCCATGTAAGGCAAGCAAGCGTCATGTCGGGGAGGGCGAGGGGCATCGCCACCGTTCTTCTCTTGCATACAGTGCGTTCTGCTATCAGCCACTTGAGAGATTCGCCATTTAACATGTTCAAGGCAGATGTTTGCTCTCGGCCAAGGGAGAGGTAGGCAGAACCGTCCCTCATATAATTGACCATGTTAATCAAGGTAAGCTGGCCGCATTCTGGAGCTTAACCCCGGCCCCATTTCTGGTGATTAATTAGGTATTTAGTGGCCTGCCATCAGAGATAACAGAAGAAAACGCCAAGCCAATCATTTACCACGTAGTCGGACGAGCTTGACAGGAATAGACCCGTCGATTGACGAACAGGCGACACCAAACAAAAGCCGAAAGACGAGCCGACTTCAGATTTCGTGACCAGGGAGCTACAATCCGTCCAATACCTTACCTACCTGGCGTCTATCAATGCGTCAGAACGTCTCCCCATTGGACAGACGAGTCGAGATCCACGTGATTGTCGCAAGGAGGTCTCAAGACGATGGGGTTTGCCAGGGTGACCCTTACGACACATCTGCCGTCCCACGTAACCCCCCCGCCCGTCATCGTGCCATTTAAAGATGACTTTCGACCGAGCGGACAACGGGCACATGGCCACACAACCCCCAACGGCCATCGCCGGACCTTTTCGCACGCTTGGGACGACTCTGAAGCAGAAGTGTAGTGTCGTCTGTCTCGTAATCATGCCATGCGCCTCCTTACCTTTGAAAAGAATGTCTGCCAAACCCCACGGCCACCTTCTTCGGCCGACTTTGACACGCAGCAATGCTTGGCTCGAGCATAGTAGTCAGCGGCAAGCCCGTAAGCCCGTATTGCACATGGTAATGACGATGCTTGCAGGAGTCAGGCAGGACTCAGTGGCCCCTGATGAATTTGCTCGGGTGCCGACTATTCTCTCAAGTCTCCTTTGTCGTCTCGTACCTTGCCCTGTGTCTTCCACGCTTGGTCTGCATCGGGGTGGACTTTTGGGCTCTTAATCCCTTCTCTTGCCTTCTCCTTCCTCTTGTAGTCCGACTGGAATCTTTGGTCTCTGTCGCCGACAAATTTCTCGAAATCGAATTGCCCGGGCGCCGTGAAGCTCGTCATCAGCTCCGGCTTGCCCAAAGGCAGTTTATCCCCGCGGTCGACTTGCCACAAGTGATACACTTTTCCACAGTTTTACCACCTCCTCCATCTCCTTATTTTCGGCCAGCTCCCAGGCTGCATCTGGTAAAGTAGGCTGCGGCATGATGAGCATCCCGGATTTAACCTCGTACACGTGGCTATGCCATAATTTCCGTTCCTCGGCCTCGAGTGTTTCGTATAGCGTGGGGCTTATCATGTACTCAATACCGATGATCCGGGCAGTCGGCTCAGGACTGTCGTACAGAATACATTGTCGTACGTCTTCATTCAAATGGCCACAGTAGTGGTTGGCTTCGACAACTCGGGCAGGATCCGACACGTAGGCGTGAAACGCGTTGAGGTGTGCACAAATATTCTGAAGAGGAGCAAAGTTCTGCAGTCGTCAGCTGTGCTGATGGCCGGCAGACGCAAAGTGTTAGAAAAATGCGAGCAAACCCACCTGAGTTGCTGATGCGCCTGTCAACAATGCTTGGTTTTTGATGGAGGTCGGCTCGCCAGCCGCTTCATTCGTTTCTGGTAAAGATGCCATTGTTTCTATGGTGTTTGAGAGTAGCCCAGATGCGTGACAAAAGGCACCAAGACAAGCATATAAAACACGCAAATTTGAGGTGGCAGGTGTAAATATGCTTCGCTTGGGCACGTTTTCTATCGTTCGGGAGACATTGGACGTCACGTTCCTTGATACCCCATTGCCGAATATCTACGTCATCATTGGCAGCTCCACGATGTCTGAACCTCGCCACCCCGCGTCGCGCGGAGGTTTCAGTCCGCAGCTCCGACCGCTCGACGTAGTTCATCACTAAACGGATGTCAGCCACAATGCTCATCTTTTTCGCGAGCTTACGACCTTTGTGGAACAATCTCAGATACACACTTTCTGAAATACTGGGTACTCTGTCCTACTTTTCGAGGCTGCATTTCTGATAAGTGTGGTGACAAAGTCACGCCGTGAAGGAACGTAATGGAACAGTATCAAATCCGACTATTAATTGCACCTGAAGTGTCAAGCAAAGGCTAATTGTACATATCCGCCAGATCGTTTTCCTACCTGTAGACTAGACGCGCTGAGAAGCATTCTCACGTAGGGTGGCCTCGTTCTTGAGTCCAGCCTTGTCGCTGCGAAGACCAGTAGTGTCATGGCTAACACCGACGCCGCTGTCAGCAGAGCCAGTGTGCTTGTGCTTGCGAGCACCACTCAGTACTCCGCCGAGACCGCCGCTGTGGGCATGCATGTCCCTGTCGCCCTCACCCTGCTCGACCTGCAGGTCTTTGTTGTACGACTTGGGGCACCCGTCGTATTCAACCTTGGAATGACCCTTGCCGTCAAGACCAGCCTTGTTGCTGTTAAGCTCCTCGAGCGTTTTGGGGGGGAGCACAGAGGTTCCGTGAAACTGAGCCGCGGCATGGTGGGTCTCATGAATGGGAATGGTTGTGTGGACGACCTGGGGCGCAATAACCTCCTTCTGGATCACGGGCTGAACGTGCTCGTGCACATGGTGGTGGATGCGCTCGCCAGCGACCACGGGGTTGATCGAGCTCGAGTGAGTCGTGTCGTGAGTGGTAGAAGTATCCCTGTACTGAGCAGCGTCGGCATCAAGCTTGGCCCGGACATCCTTGTCGTTGCCATGCTCGAACGACTTGTGCTCAACAGGGACAATGTTGTGAGTGTGCTTCTCGGCACTGCTATTGTTAGCGACCAGATGCAAATCGTGGCATTGAGCTACTCACAGGGTCTCCTTTGCCATAATAGGCTGCACAGTAGTGTGGTGGTGGTCCTGGTGAACCTCCTTATCGATGGCGGTCGTGACATTCTCATGGCGGTGAGGCATAACATGCTCCTCCGTAATCTCGCGACGCACATCTTCCTCGACAGTGGTCTTGTGCTTGCCGTCGCGGGAGACGAAGTCGGCAACGGCTTGCTTGGCTTTCTGCATATTGGCGGTTGTTGTTTGGCTTGTTGCTGTTTAGCTTGAGGTGGCGTTGAAGTTGGGTATTAATGCTGAGTTGAGTGTGATGGTGTGACGAAAAAATAATCATTTACAACAGCCAGAAGCCTAAACATATATGCGTTCGCGGGAAGCTCGTGATGTCCTTCGCCCGAGAGCATCTTCGACGTCATCTTCACACGTCATAACTTCATCCCTTTCGAGAATCTCCAACTACCCAGAGAGCTGGTGCGAACATGAATGCAATAGGCAGAAGATGGGGGCATGATCTCATCACAAAGTTGCGAGGACATGCTTGGAACACCGGGGCTAGATGCATCCGTTGAATGTCAAATCTGACATGCGGCTAAAAAGATCCTAATGGCGGCGGTCCGTTGATGTGAATGTCGCAGCGAGCTGGGATGACGACTTCATCCCGTCGATCCGGCGGTAAGTTTTGGGCAAAGCAGCACCGTTGATCTGTAGGGACAGGACCATATGCTGCGAAAGGCATGGTCGCATGGGTGGCTTGGGCTAGCGACGCCCCGGTTGCAGGATGTCTCGGGTCTCCAGGAATGCGTTCTTTGGAGCGAGGGGGTGAAGATGCCACCATCGACTTTGGCTGCGCACTAGTTTTTGAGCCGCGTCTTATCTCGTCATCGAGATCACTTTTTTGTGCACTAGGGCAGATCATTCCGGCATCTATGTGAATGGCTATGTTGGTGCCCGACACCAGGACCGAACGATATCGGCTGGGTTCATAAAGGCAACTGAGGATCATGCTGTTCTTGAAATCCAGGCTCCTCAATCTACGTGCAGTACGCAAAGGATCTCAACAGAGACGTCCTTGAAAAGAACGCTAGATCTCTGCAGCATGTCACCGATCTCAGACTTACTTCCAAACAGGGAGCATCGTGTGTGCAATACAAGCAATGCCCGGTCTTGTATGACAGCCACTTAAGTAGCCACTGTCTTACTGCCAGGGCACATTCCAGGATGCCGGGCCCATCAACAAGCCCACCCGTGTCTTAGTCAGGCTGGCTTCGTCATTAACGCAATGCAAGCTCTGGGTCTAGTTCCCATGCTTCCATTAGGCAGGGAAATGACAATGATGACTGCCATCGTTCTCGCGCAGTCGAGTAGACCTGACCCTCGTCTTCGCGATCAGTATGCATATGATCGGACGATCATGGGAAACCCTGACATGTCGCATGAGCGCCACGATTTCCACACGCGCTGTCTTGGGCACTGGACTTGTCATTGTGTGTTTATGCACATTCCCCTCCCCCCTGTTATCCTTCCTTCATGTTCTAGACTTCTTAACAGTGAATTTGGTACACTTGGCGGTGATTAGGTACTGGGAAACTTTTGACGCCGTCATTGAGGCAAAGGAAAATCCCTGGCGGTGATCCCGATCCCTGCGGACGATCAACCCTTACAACTTCAGTAGATCGGAGCGGGGAGCAGTATTGATTGGTCACCCCAGATATCCGTTTGCATCAATACAAGTGACGTTATCGGTAAAGGGGGCCTAATGAGCTAGAGCACATTGAGTCAATCCCCTTGGATGACCGGCTTTACTGTCGGCTGTGCTGCAAGACTTGCTTGTGCCTCGGGTTGCTATCAACACGTCAGCTAAACTGGATATAACCATTGGAAAAGCCTGGAATGACGTGTCATTGACTGACCAAGTAAGGCATCCAAGGTGAGAATTTAGTTCAAATGAGGAAAGTGCGCCCATGCTGGGGCTGATAGCAGTGTGAGGTGAAATACGATATCAGAACGTATGATTAAGGCTGGCAGCCAAGTAATATCCCATAATATTCCGTTCGCAATGCTGATGCAGCTTCAAAGTTGACAAATCAATAAAGGTATGAAGTGAAGACCGAGGCAGTAAATTGGGAGACGTATGCAGTCCAGTCTGTGACGTCAGCACGTGAGGTTACACAGGCTGATCTATCTAACTCCCCCAATCCCTAGCCATGTCTTCTTCTTGCAGTATTTGTCCTAATTCCAGTATTCCTATTCGATTTTTCGTGCTTGAATAACTCCATCGAGCTTGGTGGACGGGACGAGTCTGACACGTTACAGACCGTAGCTTGACTTCGCCCGAAGGTTCTTAGGACAAGCCACATCCCATAATCCCATCCTCTGTACTGAAGGCTAGTCACTCATATTTCCGGTAGAAGCCTTAAATAGATGCATGGAAGCTGATGCTCGGCGCGGAACGGGCAAACCTCCCGAGTCTTCGTAAGCTAAGCTCGACAAGATCGGTCTCCACAATGATGAACCATGCGGCGGCGAACCTTCTTGTAATTGGTTGCACAACGTCCGACACACAAGATGCAAGGTTGAAGCCTCCAGCTCCTCAAGTAAACAGAGCATATAGTGGATGATCTCGATTCAGAGTGTGTCCAGCATGGCGAAGGTGGGAAAGGGTTCTTAAATGAAATGCGAAGATTCCGCAACGGGAGCTAGAGCATCACGGGCACCTTCCCATGGCTAATCGCCTCACGACGAAGTATACAGCTAGACAGATTGTATAAAGCGTGGGAATTTCGTCTTCTGCAACTGGCAGCAATTGGCAGAAATCGGGCGGTGACTTTTCCATCGTAAAATCTCGGGAAACCTCTTATGTTCCGCATCGGTCAGGGTTGGGAGGCCTATGTGCATGAGGCATCCATAGTATCCCTGATGGCTTCTGGTGTACTGCGACGCCAACACACTGTGACCATTAGTCACCTTGCCTAAAATCGTACAGTATTCACTAACATGCCCAAAACCTTTCGCAAAAGTGTTGCTTTGCATCGTCTACCGGAAAACTATTGTACCCGTCCAAACTGGACTGCATCATGAGTAACCTCAGCTCCGAGGTCGTGTACCTGGCGGGAGTCCCCAGATGATGAGCTTTGCAACATTCAAGCATCCACGACAGACGACCTCAAGGGAAATTTGAAGGGGAGATGGACGGAAATGCGGGTTCCTCCATTTCGAAGAGGCCACACTGGAAAGAGACCTGGACTATCGGTATGTTGACGTGATCGCTCCGTACAGTGTCTCTCATCTAGGCGACTTAGCTGTATCAGGCAATGTATCTGCTGTGCTGGGTAAGTCTTTCACTCAGACTATTAGAGATGGCTCTCGTGACGGCCGTTAGAGCGGTGGACCAAAAGTTCCTTACAACAATTCAGGGTCCTATGGGTAGGAATGTGGCAGTGCACAACACAGCGCACAGGTCAAAGGGCGACTCAATGGGCGCAGAACAGTATCGTGTGGGCACCGTAGTTGTTGGAATTCGAGCACAGCCCCACCACCAAACACGTTTTAGAGGGCAAATCGGCGTACCAGAGAGCATACCTTTATTCTCCAATGTGTGAATGCGGGCGGCACTGCGGTCACCAGATCCATTCATCCATGCTACGAGCGGCACAGTAGTGCAGCGAAATATGATCTCTGGATTTCCTTAGGGGCTGTGTTGTGCGCCCAGGAGCCTGCGATGCCTCGAAGGGTTTGCATAGCCCCATTGCATCCGCCAGAGGCTGTACCACCTACGCCCGATTGATATCCCATTCTCTGAGAAGCAGTGCAAAGCTAGGGCATGAATGGAACTTTATCAGTGGCTGAAGGCCGGCACACGGCCCTCCGCGGACGTCGAAGTGCTATATGATATGGGTGCCGCACAGTCTGAGGCCCTCCATTCATAATCCAGACGCAACTAGGATGCTACTTAAGCATGTCATGCCATGGCCTGTCTGGAGAGAAATAGCCCAAACACCTTCATCACACAGAACCTACCAAATATCATCAATCAACTCCCAGCAAGATATCATTTTGACTGTCGGGCAGCTCCAAAATGGCTTACGTCGACCAAGAAGCGTACCAAAGAGCCGTCTTGGCTCTCTACATCATCGCATTCCTCGGCTCTTTCGCACTGTGCATCCTGACCTTTGCCAAGCTCCGGGGAACAGATGTCTATCTCGGCAAGGCCGTTTCATGGCTGAAAGCCACGTCCGCTGTGTTCACCTTGTAAATTACCCTTCGTCTACATAATAATTTCAGATCGCAGCTAATCAAGCGCGAAGCTCTGTCCTTCTCGATTCCATCGAGCGCATATTATACTTCGCCTCGCGATACGGAAGCTTCTATACCAATCGCAGCCCAAGCCCTTTTCGCAGCCCAAGCCCTTTTTTAACTTGGACTGCTGTACTTCTTAATATCTGGGCCAGGGCCATGGTTCCGATCCTGTTGTCGTCAGCAGGCAGTGGCATTCACCATGTCATGATCAGTAAACCGGCAGGTCGAGACCGGCTTGTCCGCTCGTTGGCACTGGTCTTGGGCGGATCCAGCGCCGTCCTGACCATCCCCGTCTTCGCCGTCTTTGTCTATGCTCACGTGGAGAACATGAGCAACAACCCATATGGTATCGTAATCGAGGCAGCAGATCACATGGTGCGCCTTCATACCGCCGTCAACTTTATGATACTTGTAGCCTCGGTGATCGTGGCAGTCTGGTCTTTCAGCATCAAGTCTTCGCAATGGATTCGCTCGGTAAGAGCTCGACTGTTTATCTCGATTGGCACCGGGACTAACCTTCAAGCAGGTAACAAAATTCTTCATTGGCGCCAACTGCATCAATGTTCTCGGCGCCGCGTGGGAAATGATGTATCAGATCTTGTATTCATATTTCCCCGCCAGCTATATTGAGAGTGACCACTGGATCAGAATGATGCTTCTTCTTCTGAGCACTTGGGGAACTGCGCTGATCCTTACTCTTGTTTTCATGGCCCTGAAGAAACAACCCAGCCTGAACAGAGCCAAGATCGACCGACAGCCTTCCATATAGCGCGAGTACTCATGACCGACGTTGGACAGTTAGCGCACTCTCCCCTCTATCACTCAGTAATGATGTATAGCAAGGGACTCACGGAATTCCTTGAATGTCGGCGAGCTCAGTTGTGGAGGGGCCTAGGCTATTTGAGATTTTATTCCGTTTATGGATCCGTCAACCTGCTTGAAAGATCCACAGTCTTGGCCATAATTCTGTTAGCCACCTTAATATTCCCCATCGATTATTGACAGCATATATCCCTTCAGTTATTTGCTGCACAATCAAATCCTCGGCTATCCGGTTTCTGGATGGTTTTACTAATATTGTTCGTGACAGGACGCTACCTGCCGAGTTCCTCGATGTACATAAATCCCAACACCACCACCGCAG